CACCGTGGAAACACTAGTAACGTCCCTCTGTAACGTCACCGTGGAAACACTAGTAACGTCCCTCTGTAACGTCACCGTGGAAACACTAGTAACGTTCCTCTGTAACGTCACCGTGGAAACACTAGTAACGTCCCTCTGTAACGTCACCGTGGAAATACTAGTAACGTCCCTCTGTAACGTCACCGTGGGTGGACGTATCAACTGGTATTTATAAAAGCCTGTTTATTATTTCTTTGATGAGATATTTATCATTTTCTTAGCGAAGTGTACTGTTGATTAAATAACACGTAAATTAGAAGAAAAAACATTTTTTGTCAAAATGCAAATAGGGTTTCCATTCAAAGTCTAATTACGAGCTAAATCATCGCTTAACATTTGATAAACGATATTAACGTTCTTATTACTAGAAGATACATGTGTCTTACATCATATTTAGAAAACATATGTATTCGTTTATTTCACGTTTTGATTTTGCTGTGATAGTACTAATTGTTTACTTGTTAATGTTTATATATTATTGATAAATTAAAGTTTCTATTATGTATTTTATCTTATAAAATAAATAGAGGCGCTATAACGAGGTCTTGTTGTTTATATATATTCGTGACATACTGTACTGTGTTATCCAGTGAATATTAACCCATGTAATATGACCTATCAGTCCTGTGATCGGTTGTAAGTTTCAATTGTTTCAATTGTGACGGCATGCTAGAACAAGTACCTGACGTCACAGACATACGCACTGGAGTCAAAATGACGGCTTTTTACATTTCAATGTTGCATGAAAATTACCGTTTTACACGAATAAATCCACAAATCTTGATTGTGTGATAAAAACGATCTTATACTCGTTTTCATTTTATATGAAATTTATGAAACTCGTCAATTCAATTCACGAATTTTTTATCTAGGCTCGCCAGAGGCTCGCTAAACTTAAAAAAATCTTAGACTCGTTTCATAAATCTCATATGAAATGGAAACTCATGTAAGATCCTATATGTCTATCAAATTTGAAAAGAAAACGAGTTTTTACGATGCGTTTAACATTAGTATATCTGTTGAATAATAGACCAATATGCTCCCCGGGTCAAACAATATGTGACTCGGTCCTCACAAACTAAATTTCGTGTCGTATTTAGATAAATGAGATATGTTACACACCAGTTTATGACTGGGTAACAGAAATAGCTGACCATGTCCTATATGTCACTGACAGTAACGTGTGCAATGTTGAGGGAAACTAATAAAGTGTCAAACCATGTTTTGGTATTTGTCACTGATAGTTATCATAAGGTTATTTTTTTACATCCATTTTATTTTCAATACACACAATAAAAAAAATGTGTTTTAGGATGAAATAACAGTGGATCATTTACACATAATCTTACCGTAGACAAAGATCCACATATGAATACAATATTTGTGGAAATCTACAAAATACTTCACCTATACCAACCTTTCCTACGAATGTCTAAGGCTTTCTATCAAATCCCTCAGCAACATCTGCTATATATAAGCTTAATATATATAACAAATGAAATTCGATTTTTTCCTCACTCCCGTAGGTGAACTTTTCCGCAACATACAGCAGAAAGTCCTTGTTAATACTCTTCTTAGTCTCGAACTACTCACAGTAACACTCTGTTGTGCCCCAAGACCCTGTCCTTAATTTGGCCATTGCTTTTCCAGACTTCCCACAGAGGTTGTGAATTCTAACGCGAAACTCTTTTTAGATGATTGCTCTATTAATTAAACCTCCAGAGGACACGAAGGTTCTTCAGCAATACCTCATAAACATCCAAAACTGGGGAGGAATACTGGTCCATGCTATCCAACGCAGACAAATGCTTTAAGAATGTCAAGGAAGCTTAACAAAATCACAAATGATCAGAACCTATAAACACTTACAGACAGCAAACGCTAAGGGTTACTCCGACTCAAGATTTGTCTTCATTTGCCCGTAAACAAATTAAAATGGGAAAACAACACCAGTTTTCCTGTGTCGGAACAATGGAACTCGAGAAACAGCGGACGTCCGACACCAGATATTTCCTCATCAAAAATACATGTACAATTAAATTATACAAATGGAAAAGGCCCGACAACAAGCTTCGAAAACCGAGGATTTAAGGTTCATAGTACTCATGGAGACTGCCATTGTTTGTGGGCCATGGATGAAAGGACTCATCTAGTCTGGGCTCCCGTGGTTCTGGAACCGTTGGTTCGGATTACCGTGTACAGGCCTAGGGCCCGGAATCATGAAACGGACTCTTAGACTTAAATCCGTTTCATGATCCCGGGCCCAGGTCTTTTTATGAGAGGTCTTTCACTCAACAGTAGATCATTATAAGATATACTAACATTCATTTTCATCTTTCTGAAGAGTTCAAAATTGGTATGCATTTCCACTTGAATCTTATATGATATATGCAACTACATTTAACAATTTTAAGGAAAGCGAAAAATGCCATTGAATGTTTAAGGGATAAGTATCCCTAACAGCTTACAACAGATTTTACAAGACTTAGAAAAGGAAATGAACCAAGCATTTTAGATCTTATAATAACAAACAAAGAGGAAAGGATCCATGAAATGCACTATAATAGCCCGATCGGCAGTAGCGACCATCTTGTTTTTAACCTCAATGTTCACTGTCAGAAAGTTCCCTCTGCCAATGAAACACCGCGTTTGCATTACAGCAAGGGTGACAACGATAGCATGAGAGAGGACTTCAATACAGAATGGAATCTTAAAAGGCAATATTGGGGAAATGGATAAAACGTAACAGGGAGCATTGAGGCTAGTACAAATAGATACATCCCCAAAAGTAAACCAAAAGAACATCAAACTTCTGGGAAAGATAAACCACCTCTGAATAAAGATACGTTGAAAAAAAAATCAATACAAAGCATAGAGGTTGGCAACGATACATGGAAACGAAACATGAGATTAAATACAAAAAATATACCAGAGCTAGAACCCAGTGTAAATGGGAGATACAGAAAGCTAGGCGAGAAACGGGAAAAAAAGTATAACAGATTATATCAAGCCTATAACCGAAACGTTTTTGGAAGTACGCAAACTCTAAAAGAAAAGTAAAAACTGGGATTCCAGATTTAAAAGCACTGTACGGGGATGACCAGCAGATGACAGTAAGAGATAGCGACAAAGCTGAAGTTCTAGCCGCAGGGACCCCCGGGAGATTTACCAGAGTTTAGGAACCGAATTATAAGCTACCCATTTGAGGAAAGTGCCTGTAACCCGCATATTGTTAGAAAACTACTCAAGAATCTAAATGAAAATAAATCACAAGAACCAGACAGGATGCACCCCAAAACTTCTAAAATAATGGAGAAATAACATTAGTACACCTTTGGCTGAGAAAAACTACCATAATCCTGTAAGGAGGCAAATAAAACGGATTTTTTTAAAAAGGGGTCGAAGTCGAATCCCAGTAATTACAGACCCGTTAGCTTAACGAGCATCATTGTAAAGACACTAGAAAAGCTGGGGAGATATATTATTGTAAAACATATGGACAAAGACGATCTATCTCTGGCAGATTAACGCAACTCCAACAGCTAACGGTACTTGAAGAATGAACAGAAATTATAGACAACGGCTGTCGACTAGATGTAATTTGCATGGATTATGAAGGCCTTTGATAAAGTGCCACACCAACGTCTACTAAAGAAACTGCCAGGATACGGAATAAGGACTTTCTTGGTAATAGATGCCAGCGTGTAATTGTCAACGGCCATTACCCGATCATCAAAAAACATACCCTGCAATCAGCGGTATTCCTCAGGGAAGTGTGCTTGGCCCGATTATTTTTATCATTTATATAAATGACCTAACAGAAGTGGCAATCTCCCCATCGCCGTACGTTATTTGCAGACGACACCAAATTATACCGTCAAATACAAGGTACCGAAGTTATACAAGTCCTTCAAAATTATCTAGATACTCTTCAGAGATGGTCAGCGAAATGGTTATTGATGTTACACCCGAAGAAATGCAAGGTTTTTGGAAGTACTATATAAGTTGAAAAATATATCGATGGAAAGAGATCTTGGGGTCATAATAGATGAAAATTTGAACTTTGGGTATCATATTCAACAATGCGTCAACAAAGCAAACAGTATAGTAGACTAATAAGGAGAACGTGTGTTTGTCTTGATGAACCAATGTTTAAATTATCATTTAAAGCTTTAGTCAGGCCACATCTGGAATACGCTGCCATTGTCTGGAGTCTACACAGAGCAAACGATATAGATCTCCTTGAAAATGTTCAACGAAGAGCAACAAAACTAATGCCGGGGCTAACAAATCTAACATTATATATACTGAGCGTCTAAAAAGATTAAACTTGCCACCATTGAAGCACCGTAGAATGAGAGGAGACATGGTTAATGTGATTATAGAGTCACTCCAAATAGGTTTGAAATTGGCAATAACAGAAAACAAGAGGACACTCCCAGAAAATCTTCAAACGACGTAGCCGTCTAGATATAAGAAAACTTTTTTTTCAGTTTCCGAATTATAGATATATGGAACAATTTGCCTCGAGATGTCATTGATGCACCCACAGTTTCTTATAGATGGACACGTACTGGAAGAATAATTGTAATTATGATATTTATGAACATTATTTCACCTGAAGTAGTATATATGTAATATTGTGTTATTGTATTTTACCTGAAGTAGTATATGTAATATTGTGTTATTGTATTTTACCTGAAGTATTATATGTAATATTGTGTTGTTGTATTATTTTGATATGGATACAGAGGCTTAAAGCATGCGTCCATTACAATTCCTAATTAATCCTAATAAAAAACAAACAATTTGGATGAATACTAGAAACACAGTATATATATGCATAAAATAATGTCACCTGGCTAATTTATATGTTTAAAAACAAGAGTTAAGTTAATAGCGTTGTTAAAATTGAATGTAAATGTAGTAATGTATGCACTGCATCATTGATATCCACGGTATACAGGCACTATCTATCTGCGTCCATCTTTTTGCATATTAAATTGTTATAAAAAGTATACAAGATTTACTATTTACAAGTGAGACATATTTAGAGAACAATCGATAAAACACCTGGTAGGGTGCTATTTTTTAACATTTACATCTTGTTTTCCTTTTTTGCTATGTATTTAAAATAGCAATGTATTGGTGTCGTGCTACCACACACAAAAAAACAAATCGAGTTAACTCCCCTATAGGAAATAAATGCAAATGTTTTTCCAACAGGTGGCGTTGTTACCGGAACAAGATCGGCGCGAAAAGAGGCTGACCGAAAATGAATGAAAAGCGAAGAAAAACAACCATAGTTATTGACGATAACAAAGCAATTATGCATCCCTGATCCCAGGCTAACCATCTGCGATAACAGGAAAAACTTTCGCTCATAATGCCTAGGCGAAAAGTTAGTAACAAATCCGCTTACAATTGTTCGATATTCCTTATGTTCCGTTACTTGACCAGAAACGCTGAATCTGCTGACAGTGTTTACGATTTTGAATTATGTTGACTCTTATCAAATGGGTCATTTTGTGTTTGTGGTGTGATTTTAAACATTTTTATGTTGATGAGGTCGATTACCATTAATTCCTGATTGTTTAAATAACCCTGTGTATGAGCATAAGTGGCCTGTTGACCTGTTCCCCCTGTGGACAAACTGTGCTGTTGTTGAATATGAAATGTAGGTTATCTGTAGATGGATACGCCATATCGCTCCTTTCTTGCTTTACATGACAGAGTAAGAGTGCTAAGTCACAGTTTAGTCTGAAGCTTTGTATTTAATTTATCAATGCAAAACCACAGTAGTCAGTTCCAGACACTCGGAGAATGAGATATATTATTGGAATATTACTTTCATATGAAATAGTGCAGGTACTATGTCTTCAACAGTTTTGAGGCCTGTACCTGGAATTGGGTTTATTCCTGTCCTCTAAAACGCATTGCTTTTTAAGAAAAACTTGAATGAGCACATTCCTGCATATCAAACTGTTTTCGTTTCATGTGACGGGTGGTAGTAGCTGCTGTTCCCCTGGCCAGTGGTTTTCCGGGTGGACCAGAAGGTTTTCTCAACAAAACCATCCCACCAGGCCAATAAATATTTTGTAAATTTATCTAAAATTTCAGTAGATTTTTGAAGCTCAATTTTAGGCCCCAGATATACCACAGAGCTTCTTGATTTCGAAATTGCTGGTGGGTGGTCAGAAGACATATTGAGTACCTTTGGCGCTCGCTTGGGCCAGCAGCCCTCATTATCTGGCCCAGTGCACTTCAAAAAGGACATGTAGATTTTTTTTTCTTCAACTGGCCCTTGGACCAGTAACCATTTTCAAATCCACTCATACGTGAATTGGAAAACTTTATTTAGGAAACGGCTTGTATATCACTTTATCTTACATCCATTTTACAACTATTGTTAGAATTGTATTATAATGGATTGATAAAACTACAGCTTTTTTCAGTAGTATGTGTGACCCTAATAGTGTTTATAATACTTACCCATAAAGTTTAATAACTACTGGCACACATTGCAGTGTTGAAGCAAAATACTCTGTTGTCCGAATAAAGGTGTAGAAGTCTCATTAATTTAACTAAGCTAATATACTTTTAGTTCTGCCATTTTTACTATTAATAAAAGATTACCAGATACATTTAAGAGAGATAAAGAACGAAGAGAAAACAATTAAAACCTATCATTGTATGTTCTGTCAAGAGTGTAAACAGACTCGTCACTTCTACTTTCCTACCTTTGTTACAGCGGCCTAGAGAAGTAGCGTCTTCTGAGGAGAGTGATCATGAACAAACATCAGCAGAAAGTGATGGAGACAGCTCACATTCAGACACCATTGCACCCCGAGTCACCAGGCGCTCGGCAGCAGGTGATTAATGCTCAGTAGATCTTCCATGTAATCATGGTAACATCACCAAATCTCTTTCTCTATTTACAAAATGGAATGCAGTATATTTGCCATAAATTTGAAAGAACATGCAGAACTAGAATAGCTAACAGTGATGCTGCCATGCATATGCTAACTATGATATGGATATAAAGATCCAGTAATGTAGGATGTATTCATTTGATATCACTGATATGGCCTCTGAAATTAGAAATTGTGGACTTTTGTTTCATGTTTAACTTATTTTATAAACTTTTCTTGGCTAAAGTTATAATTTCATGATATATGCTCATTCAGAGTATTTGAGAATTAAGATTTGGAGACATTGTATTAGGAATCATATTCTTAACCTTATCTAGCTATTTGTGTGATTCCCTAACAAAACTTGATGTTGGACCATACAGGTATTCGTGTATAGTAAATATATAATTTTTCCATTTCAGGCCTTGTTTCATCTGTTGGTATTTCCTCGCCTGCTCGGAAAAGAAGAAAAATAGAATCAAGAACATCAGAATCAGCATCAGAATGTGAAAAAGAAATAACAAACATTACACAAAATAAAGCCTCGCGTAAGAGTGTAGACACTAAACCAACAACAAATAAGTCTGGTTCAAAAGACAAAACGCCATCCTCACAAGGCAAGGGAAAACAATCTGCAAAAGCTAAGAATGCCAATCAAGCAAAACTGAATGAAAAATCAGTGTCAAAAAGAAAAACTGTTGAAACCACAGCTGAAAATGGCTTCATGTCCATATGGACAGAAAAGCGACCAACTCCTTCCATGGACTACAATGAGAGTAATGCAAAGTGTCCTCTGCCAGGCTGTGATTCTAAAGGTACGTGAGAGGGATTTACGCTTCACAAATTACTCCCTCGTAATATCATGAAGTAGTGTTTACTGCGTATAATCTTAAAATTTTTAGTGAGAGGGATTAATGTTAAAAGAAATTCCTCCCTCGTAATATCATGAAGAAGTGTTTACTGCGTATAATCTTAAATTTTTATGGAGAGGTATTAATGTTAAAAGAAATTCCTCCCTCGTAATATCTTGAAGAAGTGTTTACTGCGTATAATATTAAATTTTTAGTGAGAGGGATTAATGTTAAAAGAAATTCCTCCCTCGTTATATCATGAAGTAGTGTTGACTGCGTATAATCTTAAATTTTTATGGAGAGGGATTAATGTTAAAAGAAATTACTCCCTCGTGATGTCATGAAGTAGTGTTTACTGCGTATAATCTTAAATTTTTAGTGAGAGGGATTAATTTCCTCATTGATACTGCCTATGATCCCATGATGAAGTAGCATGTGGAAGTAATTCAGCAATGAACTAAACTTCACTTATATGGTCATTCATTTATTCACAGATATCAATTCATATAAGTAATGGGATAAGACAGTATGAAACTCATAGTTCCTGTATGGTTATTGGAGTTTTGAAATTTATAGTTGTTGCTTTAGGTCATTTGACAGGCAGACATGATCGTCACAGAACATTAGCCTCCTGTCCCTTGTACCACAACACATCAGCTGAGGACTGTAAGGTAAGAAATACAATTCTGTAGACTGTTATACAATTAAGGTGTCTTGGGTAACTTTTATGTATTGATTCTCCAAAGACCCTCAAATGAAATTAGTTTTTTTATATAGATTTGTTTATAATTGTGTATCAACAGTATTTCCAGATTTTGTGATAGAGGTGTTTCAAAAGTACTAAGAGAGATAATTCTTTCTGATAAAATTCTCAAATATGAACTAATTTAATCACCAAACAATGTTTAATGTTCTCATCAGATTAAGTTTACAGCTATGAGATTGTTCCATATTAATTTGATTGGTTGTCATATAAGAGTAATTCAATCGCAGATGAATTTAAAAAAAAAAACATTTTATGGTCATGTGAACTTTTTTTGGCAAAAATTTATGAATGATGTGCGCTTAAAATAAGAACATAGCAGATCTAAGTGATAGATATCTGAATGGAGAAACTGTATCTGAATTGAACTATAAATTCTATTAACAGAGGAGATTAGAAGACAGACATAAGGAACAAACGGAGAGGGAAAAAGTTGTTGCTACACTACATGACAAACGTGATCTCCGTAAACAGGTAACCATCACAACCACAACTTCCAAAAAAAATGTTTTTAACCCTTAGGCTGCTATGCGCCACAATAGTGGTTTCGAAAAGTTGGGCCGTCAGTGCTACACACCACAATAGTGGTGCGCGGTCTGTAGGTTTTTTTATCAGTAAACAGGAAGTGTGAAAGTGGACTGTTGCTATACCAAACCCGAAAGCGTATAGTAGAAGGCTTCTGATTGGTTGTTTTGTCATTTCTTTCGATATTCCTGGCAATGTACCCTAGTAATAATCAAAGTGTGCGAAAGAATTTCAAATCGGAAAAAACGTCATAAAAATGGCGGATGTGTAGATTGAAGTGATGAATATGATGGTAAACATTTATTCTCCAGCGTCACCTACGATGATAATAAAGGTTTTAAAGGGTTTGACATGGTTGATGTGAAAATACTTCGGTGTAACATAATATGTAACTTTCCAATGAACTGCTTTGTGCCCTATGCAAACATGAAAACATCTGTGACTGAGGCGCACATGTCGTCTGCAGGTGAGGCCGAATTGAACATTGACATTCATACGTTTTGAGGCGATTGATCCTCGAACTATTTATCGATGATTAAATCATAAACTAGACCGTAGTTAAGATATATCTATATGCCGACTGTGACAATAAATATATTGAATGATGACCTGAAACCTGTAGCAAATCGCATGCAATTCTTGATGAAATACCTGACCCTTTTACCTGAGAATCTCCGTGTTAATGTACAGCGTCTTGCATCATAAATGAAGTTTATAATCTCTGTTATCATTTTCCAATCACATTTGCTGAAAAAAACAATTTTAAAATGATCTTTCTGGCGCTTAAATCCGATTAATTAAAAGTTTCACCTTTTCTTACCTTTATTACCACCTGTACAGGTAAATACTGAAGCAACTTTAGAATCGAAAACGTTAATTTAAACTAGAGACAGTAACGAACAATTTTCCTGTAACTTTTATTCATATATAACAAATATTTTTCAAGTTATGCACATTTGAAAAATTAAGTAAATTAATTTATATTTCAATAATTAATTCGGCAGTGGCGTCCCTTTACATAGAAATCAATGTAGCAGCCTAAGGGTTAACAGTTGCAACTAGAAGGACTATTTTGTGTCTCCATATGCACTATAGAGACAGGTAAATTTGTCAGTTTTATGCAAAAAAATAACTGGTTTTGTCAAGCCTTATTTCCATAAGCCTAATAAGCATTAACTTTATAGAGTGAAACATGTACAACTTCATGATTTATCTCAGATACAGACAGATGAGCAGAAAGAAAAGTCTGAGAATATTCGCAAGATGCGGAAGAGTCTGCCTGAGGTGACGGAGGAGGATAAAAAGAAGCACCGGAATCATAGGGAGAAATATGAAAAGGGACGAGAACCTCTCCTCAATGGCCTTGCCTCAAACTATGACCTGAAACTCTTCCGAGAAGCACAGGCTCGTGCTTGTGAAGTGTTGGTAAGAAGTGTTCAGAGAAAATGGGGGGGGGGGGGGGAATTTCGATGGTTAAAAGGTTTCTGTCAAAGCTAGTTTGATTTGACCACTCCATGCTGATTAATTCCACAGAGAACTATGGAATAAAGTCTGATCCCACATCAATCTAAGTTCTATGCAGATGTAATTCTACCTATGCAGGTGTAATTGTAGAATGTTTGTGGTTTGTACAGTTTCCAATGGTCAATGTAGTGATATCACAAATACGGTAAACCTCAGGTCAGTTTGGATAAGCGGATAGTTCGAACACAACTTTTGAATAATAAAAATAACAATTTTCTGTCCAGTGATAGTTTGAACCTTGCTTACACGTCATGTTTTGGATTGTTCAAACACACAATTTGAGTACTGAAATTATGTAAGTATTGATTGAGGTTGGCTATCAGTGATGCAATAATAGCCTTGCAAAACTCGCTTAAACAGATCTATTTTTCGCATCGACAGTGTTTAACTTCTGAATAACAGGTAGTACTCATGCGCGGACATTGTTGTCATCGATGTCGGAAAATTTGTACAAAAATAAGCCACATGTCACTGCTGATTGAGTTTCTTTCTTGTAAACATGTGCATGTGCCAGTCAAACATCTTTAGGCCGCAAAAATGTATAATATCCTAACAGTACACGGAGCGCGGAATGTTACCGTCACATCGATGACAGATGTGTGTATTGTCATGATATTTATACTGCGATTACAACTTGATTATATAATCGTGACCTGCTCACTGATCCCGGATTTATTACTTTAAATAATTGACATATTACCTTTACATGTGCCAAAACAAAAATATTTGACCAGGTGGTCGATCAAACTATTAATCCGTTATTGCAGTTTCAATCCACCCTCCGCATTCTGATACATTACCATTAGACAAACGTCAATACTTGAGAAAACATCTAACACTTTACGGCCTACATACTTTGCGAATGAACTCAATAATAGGGTATTATATGTAAGGAGATATAAGAAAAATATATATATACCATTATTAATCTCTAGAATTGCAAATATATATCGCAATGGGCCGTCGTTGTTCCGTATCAAAGACTTGACTGCTAGCCTTGATTTTTGCTGATGTCGACTCAGATAGTTTGAACTACTCTTTATTTTAGCGGCTATAATTTCGTGTTATTCGAACAGGATTGACAATATTTGTTTGATTTAGTTTGATCTGAACGGAGGTTAATCGTATGCTGATATTCTGTACACATATTATGTTGTGTGTCATACGTACATTTCTTGGAGCTACTTTACTGTTCTCTTGTGTCTATATTAGTGAGACCACTTTTCATTTTATTTGTTTCTTAAAATTTCATGGTGATCCAAATCCAGAATAAAATTTTGAAAATCTGCTATGGTAAATGCATGTTTATAGCTTCAAAATGTGAAATATGTACAACAAGAGAATGTCTCAAAAGTGCACCATTAACAGCTTTTGCTTTGATTAATGTTCGTGAAATGGATACCTGAATCATACTTTATATATTGACATAGCCATTTTGCTGCCCTCTATCAAGAGTCAAGAGGAAGTTTTGAAAATTTTAATTTATATTCATATTCTCTATACAGGAGCATGAGATCACGCAACACTACACAAGGAGTGACCTCCAGGAGTACAGAATTAAAAAACTGGAGATCGGCCGCTTTGAGATGACCACATGGTACTCCAGTCCCTATCCTGAAGAGTATGCTCGCTTGCCAAAAATTTATCTTTGCGAATTCTGTCTCAAATACATGAAGACCGCCACCATCCTTCGTCGTCACATGGTAAGTATACAATATTGGGAATTGGCATATGTTAAGTATATATTTAAAGGGAATCGGCGTATGCAATCTTTTACTAGAAAAAATGAAATGGTTAACTTTATTTATAAGAGAACCAGCAGACACTATATCACACAGTAAACTATGTAAGAGAGTCAGTAAAATTAAAGCATCAGAAAATAATTATAGGGAAGGTAGCAATTAAATTAGTTTGAAAGTGTACCTTGTTGTTTTATAAAATATTAAGTACTCTGATTAGTAGGCTTTATATAAACATGTAGAGAACTGTTGAGAGGTTCTGTAAGTATAATTGTTTGGTGTTAGTTCTATTACAGTTAAATGGATAGAATAAGTATGATCTGGTAGACAATGCAAAATTTGTTTTTCTGTACGACAGGCCAAGTGTGTGTGGCGACATCCTCCTGGAGACGAGATTTACAGGAAAAACAGTATCTCTGTGTTTGAGGTAGACGGGAAGCGTAACAAGGTTTGTGACACAAAATTATAGAGTGACCACTAGGGTTTTGTGTTTTACTAAAGTTTATGTATATTAAATCATGTTTTAAATTTTTTTATACCCTGCATATATGAAGACTTTCAATACAGCACTGTCAGCAGTTACTTTGTCTATCAATTTGCATTTTGTTTGGACCGAAATTGTGAGCATCTGAATTTAATTTAATTACACCTCTGGATGTGTTTCATGAAAAAAAAGGGGTTTTGGTTTGCATACTACTCACAGACATGTATCGAAACCAAGAGCATAACGAGGGGTCAAAGGTCAAATCCTTAAATCTATGAACATCCACGTAAACTGATTTGATAGATAAGTGAATCGTGGCTATACATAGTGTCCTGACTCTCAGATGTATCGAAACCAAGAGCACAACGAGGGGTCAAAGGTCAAATCCTTAAATCTATGAACATCCACGTAAACTGATTTGATAGATAAGTGAATCGTGGCTATACATAGTGTCCTGACTCTCAGATGTTGCTAATATCATACCTTCAAGAAAATATTGCCAACTGTTCAAGTGTATATGCTGGTAACACTGTAAACTTGAAGTTCTAGTGATCAGGATAGTTAAAAAATGAGATAACCAGTACAATAAGACTGCAATGATCCAACTCATTAAACCGTGGTAAAGAAGGTTCATCAGGTAGAACAGTGATTTCTGTCTAACTTCTACAGTCACAGACTCTTCTTTGGAGCTATTCTAAAATACTGTGCTATAATTTAGTCAATAACATTTTAATATTTTTATTTGGAATTCCTGAAAAAAACCTTCAAATATCTCAGTACAAGTCGATATATATCATGTATAATTGAAAGAGAAACTTGAACTAAGGTAAAACAATAACCGAACAATATCTACAATGGTACAGGTCTTTGTGTTACAGGTGTATTGCCAGAATCTGTGTTTGCTGGCCAAGCTATTTCTGGACCACAAGACACTTTACTTTGATGTAGAACCCTTTCTCTTCTATGTGATGACGGAGAATGATACGCATGGCTGCCATATAGTTGGCTACTTTTCCAAGGTAAGTGTAGCAGATCGGATCAATATAGCTCACCCAATAGTTTGTTTACTTGTGTTTTACGTCCTATCTAGTATTCACAGCTATTGTCATTTAAGGATGTGTCAGGTTTTGGTGGTGGAGGAAAGCCGGAGACCCCCAAGAAAAAACACAAACCTATGGCCTGGCGACTCCCCCACATAGGTCTCGAAACCCGCGACCCAGGCTCACCCAATGGGCAGCACTTGTAACATGAGATAAATACTATCGACCTGCAAATTCTATTGTAGATTTATAAAATGAAGCTCAAGTTTGGTACATCAAATAGATACACATATATATATCCTTTCAATCATTCGGTCTCTTTTAACTTGATTTTGAGTCTCTTGAGATTAAACAGTGTAACTCTCTGGATTCGTGTTTGTTCCATTTAAAGGAGAGGCAGATTGTTAAACATAACATGGTAATAAATATGTAGCTTCGGTGTGTTACATCAAAGTCAAATAAAAAGGGGAAAAGTTCAAAACTCTCCTATCCTCTACCCTAATAATTTCCCTTTCTAAACACTTTATTGAAATTTAGAATTTTTACTTTTTGAAAATTATGGGAATAGTGTTCATATATTGTTACCACAACGCAAGTATCACTGCTTTAACCAAAATAATGAAATATGATTATGTTTTATTTCAGGAAAAGAATTCCTTCCTGAATTACAATGTTTCCTGTATCCTGACTCTGCCTCAGTACATGCGACAAGGTTATGGGAAGATGCTGATTGACTTCAGTAAGTAGTTCTGTAGCTCTGTAGGGACTTTCTGTTTTAAATATGGAGTTTTGTTTTAAAGCAACAATAGGAAATTTTCATAAAAAATCAGTTTGAAATTAAAACAAAGTGGAATTAAAATTAATGGTGTGGATTTTAAGGGACCTTGGTTTTGATAAAAAAAAGTAGTTTCCAGTTTTTAATAGGCAGTCATTCTGGCTGCCATCAATAAAGCTTCTTCATTTTCATTGATTTTTTTCCTGTGCAAATCTGGAACAAGTTACTTTTGTGTGAAAAAAATATGCTGTCTTAAATTATGGAATACTTGTCTGTGCATGATTGATGATTGTAAATTCTTCTAACCTCAATCTGTTTACATTTAGATATCATCCCCTGGTTCATTTCTTTTCGCGATTCTGGGAAAAATAAAATGTTATGAGGTCACATGTTGCCTGGGATAAAGGGATTCCAAATTTCAAGGAAAACATTATTTGACTTCTGCAATGTCAAAGGTTGACTGAAAGCCCTGATAGTGTATCAGTTGGTAGACTTTTCATGAACAAATTACACTAGTGGGTATGATTAGGCCTCTTGTAAATTGACAGATTCTGTATTTGTACATCTGCTAGCTTTTAACTTGGAAGTAATGTCTGTCTTTACAAGGCTACTTGCTGAGTCGGAACGAGAACAAGATCGGGTCACCTGAGCGACCTCTGTCTGACCTTGGACTCATCAGTTACAGAAGTTACTGGAAAGACACCTTACTAAACTATCTCCATAAATACAAAGGTGCAGAAATCTGCATCAAAGGTAAACATACATTATTTGTCATATTCCAGTACATAATGAACCGATGTCTACTTTTTCAATGTTGTTTCCAAAGATGTTGCATGCAAAATAGTATTTGATTCACATAATACATTGCCATTGAGTATTAGCAATTGGTATTCTATTGTGTTGAAATAACTCGCTAGAAAGAAATTAATTGGTATCAGTTGTGTTAAATTTAAATTTCTTTTATTATACTTTTTCAAGCACACATTTGGAGTTGCAGTAAAGCACAATAAAAACCATAATGTTTATTATGCAATCTTAATTGTTTATCATTAAATATGTATCTTGTATCTTTCCTTAGATGTCAGTCAGGAGACTGGAATCAATGCTAATGATATTGTCAGTACATTACAAGCTCTTGGAATGCTGAAATACTGGAAAGGGAAGCACTTGGTCCTGAAAAGACAGGTAAGGAATGTTGGGCTTATCAAATCAACCTTCATCCATGGTCCGTCATCAGCCCATCCTTAAACAATTCTATTTCTCAAAAATGACTTGATCGATCTTCATCAAATTGAAGGTTTTCCTTGGTCCTTACACGTGCATGTTTCATTTTGAAAACAAAAAAATGGTCGCTAGGTGTCCATTTTGGACTTTGAAAGTTCAAGATTGAATTCACTCCAGTACTTGACAAATCTTTTTCAAATTTCATATAAAGGTTCCCCTTGGTCCATATTTATGCATGATTCATTTTTGGACTGATATAAAAGGATGTTCACCTGGAAGCCATCTTGTATTTTGAAAAGTAAATCACGAACAATGACCTCACTTTGAAGGACACTCTCAAACCCGACAGTATGGACAATTACAAAGTTACCACAAGATTCATTTACTGTTGATACAATTATCAATAGAACAGATAAAAGAAAAGGAGAAAAACGAAGGGAAGTTTAAATTTTGTGCCGTGTTGGCATCATTTCGTGATTATGGAATGAACAAGGAGTTAAATTTGTTTTCTCTTCATATGGAGTTTATGAAGAAAATGAAGAAAAATGGACAATGCATAAATTTTATATAAAATACTAAGTCATTAAGAAGATGTAATATGAGGTATAATTTTGTTAAAACATTGTGCTTCCCTCTTTCTTATAGGACCTCATGGAAGAGTTCTTAGAGAAGAAATCCAAACATCTGAATGACTTGCGAGCTGTAGATTCTTCCTGTCTGAAATGGACGCCGCCCACGAAGAGAGTCACTCAAGCGTGATATCATATATAATGTGGTTTTCCTGTAGACTTTACCTTTAGTTAGAATAGTGCACAGTATGACAGACTGTCAAGAATCGTGGATAATCACAGTCGAAGATAACCGGTAGTGATTAAAAACAATGCCATAACTTGAATATTGCAGACTGTCTAATTATGCGCGCACATACGTGGAATCATTACAAACATCATAAAACATTTCACAGACTGTGATTGTGATTACAAACATTGGGGTTGGGAATCATGATCTGATACGAGGACACAACATCAAATTCTCTCTTCAAGGAGACTGGATCAAATGTTATTTTGGATATGTTGTGTTAAAATGACAGCATACTGGAATTTTATTGCTAGCTACATGTGTCTCATTACATCTTATATAGGTGAGGCTTTCGTAAACTTTAATTATCTTGACTGCCTAGCGATCGAAAAAAAAAACCAGGTTTAAATTGTGAAGATTTTTGTCGGCCAAGGGAAGGACATGAGCATTGCAGAAGTAGGTGTGAACACTTGTGACAGTGATGTTTACATGTAACTTGTAAACAATTAATGTACGATTGGTATTTTATTACAAGATACATATTGAACTGCAGATCTAGATCCATGGTACCACTACACCTGTCATTATGCTTGAGACTATTTTTTGTTTTGTTTTCTCGCAGAGACAGTATGTAGTATGGGTGAAACTTTGTTATTTTTGTTGTATATTTATAAGTTTTAATTGGACAAGTAGAAATGTTTCACTGGGGAGGGAATGGTATAGGGGTAGGCTACATGTTACAGTCATGGAGCAAAAGGATCGACATCTGCATGTGTAATTTTTATCCTGTCTTCATATTTTTTGTCCAATATTGAACCTTACTGTAAAAATAAACTTTTGTATTGTGGTAATGCATTTGGTATTGTTTTTATGCACTTGTTAAGTTGATTTGACCATGTATAGTATGGGGTGGGGTCTGTTTGTCAAACTCAAAAGTTTGGTACTTACAGGTTAAGTCTTTTGAAGTTTTAAGAACAAAGGATTTTCTCCTAATTTTGGACCTTTGAGAGTATGCTTCTTACTCCTTTCAATTATTAGCTTACCGGGTCCGAAGGACCAAAGTGAGCTTATGCCATACCGTGTCGTCTGTCCTCCATCCGTCGTCGTCCGTAAGTTTAATTTATAAACCAACTACAAAATGAATAAGTTTGGGTATGTAATTGAATTACCAAAGAAATTGCTTACTGGCATCACAACAATGTACCCAGTATTGCTACAGATATCCTCAAACTAAAGTTCTTACTAATCTTCTAATATCAACAACCTGACAGTAACACTGAACACTTACACGTCAATTGAGAAAAGGTCAACTTTTCTTGGAATTTTAAACACTAAAAGTGATAAGTATACAGTGAACTCAATGTAAATATGTAACATATCACTAATGTTTATATCAGTGATTGGCTGCTGTTTCTTTAAAAAATAAATAAAAAAATGCTAGAAACATCTATGAAAACTCTTTGTTCAAGTCACTTTCATATACAAAATCAAAATCGTTACGGCGTCAACAAGCCGTGTTCAAAAAGAACACGTCCACAAACCAAACGGTTGTTTCAGCGTGTCACTCACTGTATCTGGCTCGTCAATTGGTCGATAGAACGTTTGAGGTTGGTGTCGTCCTTGTTTTCAGAAGCAGGGTACAACATTGTATCTTTTTCGGAGACTTGTTTGCGCGCATTGTCAACTTAAGATTACGCATACACGTATATGGAAATGTAAAATTTACATTGCATGTATATGTTTCAAACCATGTGTCATGACTTGAATGTTTCGTTTGGTTTGTACTTATCCACATTTTCGTGAACTGTAATGGTATTGAAAGCAGTCCATAACGGCTGCTGCACTGAAAAGTAATATAGAACGGTGCAAGATTTGACAACTCATTCACTTAAATAACTTACATACCTGCTTAAATATATTTGTAAATTATATAATAACAATGATGTGCACGAAAACGATAACATTATATTTAATAATAAAAGTAAGTGTACAATCGGTGCAAGAAACTGTTATTCAATGCAAAGTACTTTTATGTATACAGTTTTATGTGAGAATACTTTTCATGACAATTAAACTGTATTAAGCTTTATTGGCTGCTGATTATCGTTGCATGAACAATTTAAAGGTAAGAATAATTACCAAAACAAGACTTTCCTGATTAACGTACAGTGTGACGCTATTTATTTGGATATAATTTTCCAAAGTCTATTTTATCAAAACTAATGAGAGTTTTGAGAAAAATTTAATCAGAACCCTCGTTGACTACAACATGTTTCAACTATGCATATTTTCTGCCGATATTGTTCGTTTATCCCCAAATATTCGCCAAAATACCGAAAGTGTCCCTTCCCGGGTACAGTAACGCCGGTTCAACGGCCTACGTACCTCTGATGGTATTTCGCGTTCTTTTTATAGAACCACGCGCCCGAAATATCAAATTGTGATAAAAAAGGAAAATGTGGATGGTATCTATTTATGAAAAACGAACAAACATTTTTGGAACTGATAGCATGGTATTGTGTAAAGAACATTGATATTTATCTAAAAAGTGTCCCGATTTGGGTACAGTGACGTTAGATAACCTGTGTGCCGATAGTACAATGTGTACCCACGAATGTCAGCTGCAGTGTTACTCTAGATGGAGCGTATCCATGGAGATAATTCCCCAGAAAATGATACCCAATTTTTTTCGTTTTTATTATTTTTTTGTTTAATATTGGAATAAATATTGCAGTTACAATTGAAACATTTAGTTTTTATACCATATCAAGACAGGAAATACTTATAAGCAAATACATGCTGCCGGTATAAAAAAAAGTCATGCAATTTTTGCATATTCTTACAATTTCGTTCTGTTGTATATATGTATGCAATCACAGTGTCTTGACACGTTTCTATGACCCAGAATGAAAGGTATTTTTTTCAGTCTGGGTCATAGGAACGTGTCAAGTCCCTGTGTACGCAATAGCATGTGGATATGCTCAACGAAACAGTCTAATATGGCAATTAATTGATATAGATATATGTCGTTTGAAACATTTACAAATATATTTAGCACGTATACATTTGCATGTTAACGTTACATGATATTACTTTTCAGTCAGTGGCCAGTATGGACAGCTTTCAAGCATTTGTAATGTTCTTCATTTTACCCTCTAGTAATCAGAAATACCATTATAGTTCACGAAAATGTGGATAAGTACATCGAAACATTCAAATCATGACACATGGTTCGAAACATGTACATGCAATGTAAATTTTACATTTCCATATACGTTTCTTCTATTCTTTTATTCTTCTCTGATACTCTGCGTTTATTCAGAGTGGTATAAAAGATCTGATTTTAATCAGATTTGAAAATAACAATACTGATTAAGTATGCATAAAACTTTTTACATCAGTAGCAAAATGGCAGAACCAGGGCAATATATGAACAAAAGAAAGATTTACATGGAGACCCTTGAAAAATAAAAGGAAAGTATGACCAGGCGATCCAGAAGGTAAGTGACTTAGATGCTTCATGGTCCAGTACACTATGCCGATTGAAACTCAAAAATTTATCATTTATGAAAAATGAAAATAAACATCTAAATGTATGCCTTTTGTAGTCAACATTACCATAAACCTTATTGTTTTATCCAACTTTCCTTTAATTGAATGAAAATTGAAATCTGAGAAAATATAGCTCAATACAGCTATAATTTATAGGTGAATATTCCGTCTTTGCGTATTGCAGAGTTATCTTCTCTTGGGAACAGGTATTGATTGTTACGTCATTGGTTTGTGCGAGAAAATTACATCGTTTTCTCAAAAATTGATGACGTTACTCTCACAAACAAATGACGAAACAATCAATACCTGCTCTCAAGAGAAGATAACTCTGCAATACGCAAAGACGGAATAGCTATATAGGTCTTTATAGCTATATAGCTCAAACGGCCGAGTGTACTGCCTACTGGACCTGGTTATGTCGCCCTTCAAAGTCGGAACAGATGTATTGAGAATGGAACAAATAATCAAAAACTGGCACCTGTCAAAAGTATCTCGCCGTGTAAACCTCTAACATTATTGGAGTAAGGACCAGTAATGTTACTACAAAGAAAGGGAATGTTCATAATCGTAAATTAAAACTATAACATTTATTCGGTCTCACTTAAAAGCGTCTTCAACCGACAACAAGCGTCTTCAAGTGACAACAAGCGTCGCCAGACAAAATCTTTAAAAATTCTGAATAAAGAAAGCGACATCAGAAGATATGTTGTTAATATGACTATAATACACATCTGTACCAAATTTTAATTTGATATTTGATAAAATGACCGAGTTATGATGAATTGAATTTTTACGATCGCGGCGTGGCACATGTGTGTATTAGCATGTAAAGTGAAGAAAGCGTCGCCAGATAATATCGTTACAATTACCCGCTAAAGTAAGCGACATCAGAAGATATGTTATTAGTATACAGTTAGAGTATGGCGTTGAGGGATATAGCAAGTTTCTGGTGTCCCGAGACCAGGTTTATTTCCCGAGGTGAAGCCGAGGGAAATAGGCATGGTCAAGGGACACCAGAAACTTGCTATATATGCCTCAACCCCATACTTTAACCGTTTTATTATACCGATACGCACTGGAGAGATAGTTTTAACTAGAAAATATTTGTAAACCATAAGCTGTATAGCTTCACGTCCCAAATACCCTTTTGATGGCAATGGAGCCAAATGCTTACGAGTTCGGCAGCAAGCTCCGCCCACCTCGCGCGTCACTGCTGAGTTCGGTAACAAGCTCCGCCCACCTCTCACCTGATTGGCTCGGTGGAAACACCCGAGTGTAGGTGTGTTTTAGTTCACAGACTAACACACAGGACTAAAACACACTCAGGCAAAAGTGGGGATATATTCGATTTAATCAATTACTTTTATATAGAGTAAATAAAGTAGAGGTGTAATAATTAGGCTTTTATTGATATATATTCCAAATTTCAGCTCGATATTTGAAAAAACGATGAGTTATGATTAATTTATTATTACGATCGGCGGCGTGGCATAGTGTGCGAATAGAACTCGACATATGAAGAAGCGTCTTCAGAACATATCTCTAAAATTCATCGATTAAGTAAGCGACATCAGAAGATATGTTATTCATATAACTATGATACACCTTTATACCAAACTTCAGGTAGAAATTTTAATAAATGACCGATTAATGATGTTTTTGATTATTACGATCGACGGCTTGGCACACGTGTGTGAATAGAACTCGACAGATTCTGAAGCGTCTTCAAACCATATCTTTTAAAATAATTGATAAAGTAAGCGACATCAGAAGATATGGTATTCATATGACTATGATACAACTATATACCAAATTTTAATTTGATTTGTTAAAAAATGATTGAGCTATCGTGAATTTAATTTTACGATTTTACGAAGCCATACGCCGTGTCACATATGTGTACGTAGAAACGTAGGGTAGGGCTGCGCATAGGTGAACACAGTTAGACCGGATTATATTGTAGAACTCTCAGCCACACTCTTGAAACGAGCATGTTACCAGACCCTACGGACGTGGACGTGGTTCTACTCCGGGTCAGTTATATGTTCGTGTAACTGATCAATTTAATGTTAGTGTTTAAAAAAAATCCCTAAATACCATAAGTTTAAATGAAGACTACACTAAAATTTAATGGCTATTGTTGTAAAGGTACAGCTGAAAAATACAATCGTTTTAAACTTCTTTTGAAATAACTGGCACACATGTGTAAATATCGGTATTTCATATAATCAAATGCATTTTGTCTGTATACGTAAGAATAACTGTTTCTCTGTTCAAACTCTAAAAAAAAATCAAATGTCAATAATTTTCACATCTTGAATCCTGTCCTGCGGGCACACAAGTGTTGTGAAAGCGTAAAAAAGTTCTTCATTTAGCGTCATTGTCATCAGGTAACTAAGTTACAACTTTTGTTGTTTAACAGGACCGTGCGTTTCGGTGCGATTCGCGCGAACACGTTTTCGCGTCCCTGGTTTTTTTGCGATTGCTGCGGTTTTAGGTATTGTTACCATACCATTCGTAGATGTTGAAAAGTCTGTTTTCTTCCACACATACTTTAGGAACTTGTCAACTTTGCGCGCTTTATCAAACGTTGACAATTCGCGCCACACAACTGTGCTCAACTTGAAATGCTTCGCGTGCGCGGCCAATTCATAGTCTCCAGGTATAGATCACAGTTCAAACTAATGGACTTTCGAATCGTAAGTACAAGACACGAACACATGTTTTATTAAAAAAAAATCAAAACTCAATTCTGAATGCGAGAAATTTAAATTAACAAAAAAATCACGTTATATAAGTAAAAGTAAAAAAATATATATTCAGACCACAATGACCTGTCGTGTTGACCTCCGATTAGCATAACTGATAACATGTGGATCGATATTGGTCTACCAATAAGAAAGTACGTACCATTGAGTTATTTCTATTGTTATATGTGCTATAAAGAGAGCAGCGTTTCAAACTAAGTTGGTATTATTATCGACATGGCGAACACAGCTATCCTCGGACACAGCTTCGTGACGATAGCGTTGTTCTGTCAAAGACTGCGCTAGTCGCCTGCTTAAACGGCCCTTTTTAGGGCCACCATCTTTCTCAAAAAGTCCTGAGAAACTCGAAAATTACGCATTCCCATCCCCCTCCCACTACATTAGTTATAATAAAAAGATAATTTAAGACATTGTTAAATGTATTCTTAATCGGTTACAGTTAAAATCTAAATTGTTAAATAAATACAATAATGTTATTCTTGACACAGCTGATAAAAGTTGTATCAATGTTTATACAGCAATATATTCTAACTGTGTTCACCTATGCCAGAGACGTATAACAAAGCCCTATGACCTACGTACACATATGTGGCATGGCGTATAGCTTAATATCTGTACATCGTATGAATTAAATTCACGATAACTCAATCATTTTTCAACAAATCAAATTAAAATTTTGTATATAGTTGTATCATAGTCATATGAATAACTAATCTTCTGATGTCGCTTACTTTATCAATTATTTTAAAAGATATGGTTTGAAGACGCTTCAGAATCTGTCGAGTTCTATTCACACACGTGTGCCAAGCCGTCGATCGTAATAATCAAAAACATCATTTATCGGTCATTTATTAAAATTTCTACCTGAAGTTTGGTATAAAGGTGTATCATAGTTATATGAATAACATATCTTCTGATGTCGCTTACTTAATCGATGAATTTTAGAGATATGTTCTGAAGACGCTTCTTCATATGTCGAGTTCTATTCGCACACTATGCTACGCCGCCGATCGTAATAATAAATTAATCATAACTCGATCATTTTTTCAAATATCGAGCTGAAATTTGGAATATATATCAATAAAAGCCTTATTATTACACCTCTACTTTATTTACTCTATATAAAAGTAATTGGTTAAATCGAATATATCCCCACTTTTGCCTGAGTGTGTTTTAGTCCTGTGTGTTAGTCTGTGAACTAAAACACACCTACACTCGGGTGTTTCCACCGAGCCAATCAGGTGAGAGGTGGGCGGAGCTTGTTACCGAACTCGGCAGTGACGCGCGAGGTGGGCGGAGCTTGCTGCCGAACTCGTAAGCATTTGGCTCCATTGCCATCAAAAGGGTATTTGGGACGTGAAGCTATACAGCTTATGGTTTACAAATATTTTCTAGTTAAAACTATCTCTCCAGTGCGTATCGGTATAATAAAACGGTTAAAGTATGGGGTTGAGGCATATATAGCAAGTTTCTGGTGTCCCTTGACCATGCCTATTTCCCTCGGCTTCACCTCGTGAAATAAACCTGGTCTCGGGACACCAGAAACTTGCTATATCCCTCAACGCCATACTCTAACTGTATACTAATAACATATCTTCTGATGTCGCTTACTTTAGCGGGTAATTGTAACGATATTATCTGGCGACGCTTTCTTCACTTTACATGCTAATACACACATGTGCCACGCCGCGATCGTAAAAATTCAATTCATCATAACTCGGTCATTTTATCAAATATCAAATTAAAATTTGGTACAGATGTGTATTATAGTCATATTAACAACATATCTTCTGATGTCGCTTACTTTATTCAGTATTTTTGAAGATTTTGTCTGGCGACGCTTGTTGTCACTTGAAGACGCTTGTTGTCGGTTGAAGACGCTTTTAAGTGAGACCCCATTTATTGTATGGCTTGGTAGTAAGTCATGATTGAAGAAGCTCGCCGACACATTTTGTAGTGTCCTTGATTTCAACACAGGATGGCACATTATACGACCGACGTTATCAACAATATACTTAAATAAATATAGTATATATTCGATATATCTGAAAGAGAAATGTAAAAACTTTGCAAGGTTTTTGCTGCTTATCCTGATAACACCCTCAATAAATTCAGTCGTACAAGTCGACCAGGGCAGAAGAGAACACCAACAGTACACAGGAAAATCTTGTCACTGAACTCAACATAGATATTGTCAGTCATTTTCACTATTTCAACTGCATTTTATTTCATTTGGCCCTCCATGGTCATATAAAATGGTGGGCCACAATCGCGGTCAGTTTGACGTTAGGAGTTTCCCTGTGCTCTTTGTCCATTTGTCCACCATCTTGTTTCCGGAACCGGAAGTTTATTGAGCTTAACTACAATGCGAATAGGGAAATTCACAAAGCCCTATACTATTTATATTATAAGTAACAAAAAAATAACTGTTCTGTGTGAATTTTTCACATTTAAATATTATTTATATGATTATATACACCTGTATGTTTAACATATGAAGTTTGTCATCCTTAATCATAGAAAAAACATTGTAGCTTGTCTTACTCCAAAGTTGTACATGGAATCTTCCAAACAATATGTCTGCCCCCATGGAAAAGGTGTGTGTTCCAGGTTAGTGGTGATTTTGATTTAAAATACAACACTAATGGCTGGTTAGGTTGATAATATGGGTAACACCTAGAGTGTACCATGTACCACTTTTGATTACTTTTATTATATATTGTTATATTCAATATTTATTTATTGTAATAAATACATTTAGTCTATAATGTAGAATAATATATAAAAAGTACCATTCATGTATCAAGTTATATACATGTTATATACATATATAGTAATAGGCACTTGCATCTGGTATTTCTAACACATTGAATTAAAATCCAAAATCCAGTTGAAATAGGTGTATTTTGGATTTTAATTCAAAGTGTCGGAGAAACCTTATTGCAGATACATGTCAGGTGAAAACTATAGGCCATCCGAGTAACATGAAGGATAAATTGCAGTGAGACGTGAGCGGGATTCGAATCCTTACTGAACGCGATTAAAGCAGGCGCTCTAATTAACCAACTAGCAGTCACCTGCTTTGGTTTTGCAGGCAACACTATCTACAAGTTTATTTACAGGCTTATTCATCTGCTGTTGCTTACTGCAAGATGTTTAATCATAAGACTTGCACTTATGGCTAAAATAGTACAGTGTACTTCTATATTAGGTGCAATGACACAATGTTACTATATAGCTACATGTAATATGAAAACTGTTGAATGCCAAAATAATCAAGTATTATAACGATAAGATATCTACCGGTATATCAATAAATTGATAAATGTCTGGACTAATGGTGTCATCTGTGTTGTCAGTATGGGCCAAGAGAGTGAGTATATGATTATGATTATTATGATCACTACAGTCTACAGTAGTGAATATTTCTCACAGGAATGTTTCTGGTCTATTTACAGGTCAAAGAATATGCAGACATGATGAGAAAGTGGTTTCTGGTAATGGTACATACACCAGAAGTGGATTTGTGTACGCTAGTCTGGCTGGATATCTAACTACAAAATCGGACAAGGATCAGGTACATCGTCAGTTTAGGTTTCTATGCTGAATTCTTAATTTTTTCCAGATTATTTGTTAAACATTGAAAAAACAATTGCTAAATAGCCTTTTGTGTATTGTAACAATATTTAGAAAGGTTTGGTTGTTGTTTATCCAGATATGTTACTGTCAGGATCTTATAATTACACCTGTCACTACATCATATTATATAAGCATTGTGATATAGCTTGACATCAGTGCATTATAGTATTTCAGACAATTTCCGTCACCATAGCATGACTGTTAGTCTAAATAGTTTTCTATGCACATATATAAAAGTCTGAAGAAAATGAATATCGGAGAATACGCCCTGCCACTGTACTGAACATGTATATGAGGTAGAATATTGTGTTTTCATTTTAAAGGTTATTATAGAAGTGAAGACAGACACTGAGCTGAACATCGTACCAACAGTAGACGCAGTAGTGACAACAAGGGTAGGTACCACAAGTTTGTCAGGACAAATACTGGTTATGAAACTCTGCCAATACTCTTTCTATTCAGCTCCTGGAAAAAGCATGATCATGAGACACGATTATGATTTCTTTTCTTTTAAATTAATACTAAAGATTATAGTTGATATCAAAATCTACTTGATGAAATATGAATATAAGTGGTTATCATAAAGAAACAAAAAATTATTGTTAGTCTTTTGAGTATTACAGTTTTATCTAAAATGAGCCATTGCTTGAACTTCCATAGTCTCGTTATCAGTCATATTTGCTTAGATAGGTTCAATGTACACTCCTTGTGATGAGATACATGTACTTGTGTTATAAGTTACTGCCATTATTGCTAATTAATTAAGTTCTTACTCATGCTATAATTTGACCTTAACCAAAGATTCAGTTAAAGATGGGAGTTTTTTTTGTGTTTCAGGTGACAAATGTAAATCCACGATTTTGTAAATGCTCAATCCTAAGTGTAGGAGGCATCACACTAAAGGAACCCTTCAGGGGCCTCATCAGGTAAGTTTACTGTCACACTAAGTGTAGGAGGCATCACATTGAGGGAACCCTTGAGGGGTCTCATCAGGTAAGTTTACTGTCACACTAAGTGTAGGAGGCATCACACTAAAGGAACCCTTCAGGGGCCTCATCAGGTAAGTTTACTGTCACACTAAGTGTAGGAGGTATCACACTAAAGGAACCCTTCAGAGGCCTCATCAGGTAAGTTTGCTATCTCTACCTCCTAAGTGTATGAGGTATCACATTGAGGAAACCCTTCAAGGGCCCCAATAGGCTAGTCTACTTGGAGATTCAATATAACACTGGAGTAATTGTTCTTAGGCTCATTCTAAGCTTTGTTATCATTTCATTGTCTGATAAATAGTTTGCATTTTAGAAATAACATGATGGCTGGTATATTTACCTTATGATTATGACTCAATAATATTGTTGTAAAATTACTTATGCAAGGAAAATATTTAAATCTTATGATTGACAAAAATAAAATACCCTTTGTTAGAAAAAAATGCCTGCATCATTCAATGCTTGTAGGCAGAGACAATCCAGCATTATGCCATTACAAATTTTAAAAATGTTTTCATACATATATTGTATTTATGTTTCAGAAAAGAAGATGTGAGGGCTACAGAAAAAGACAAGGTAAGTTCTTAATTCATTTGATGTTCTTTTTGGAATAAAATTCAAGGAATATTGTTCTTTTGTACGGCACATTAATTTCAATAATTTGACTAGATCTGATCCTTTAGTCCCTCGCCACTACTACTGAAGGGGTTTGCGCTCTCTCCATTAGTCTGGTCACATCGTCAGGAGCATAAAACATTTTGTATATTCTGTCAGTTTCATTTGGCAAATTTAGCATACGAATACCTCTTGTAATTTCAGAGTGTCCCTAACTAAACTTAGGTGCCCCTCCGTGTACAGAGTTATGGCCCTTTGTTCACCATGCATCATTTTGTCCAGGGCTTATCTGATATACTCTGTCAGCTACAATTACCAATTTTTTTTTGTAAATACCTCTTGGATAGGCTGAGTGTTAGACACTGAAATCAGGTCTTGTGCCGTTTTGTATACAGTTGTTGTCCTTTGTCATTTTTATTCCACCAAAAACAAATCTGAAATAAATTGCCTGAGTGTAAGACAAAAGAAATAGTCATATCTTCAGTAAGATTCCTCAGTTTGGAAAAAATGTGTTTAATTAAGTTTTACTTCTTACCCAAACAATGTACATAGTCATATCAAGCTATCAAAGCTTGACAAATAAAGGGACCAGGATGTCCGATAGCTTGACAAAGGGACCAGGATGTCCGATAGCTTGACAAAGGGACCAGGATGTCCGATAGCTTGACAAAGGGACCAGGGTGTCTGATAGTTTGACAAAGGGACCAGGATGTCCGATAGCTTGACAAAGGGACCAGGATGTCCGATAGCTTGACAAAGGGACCAGGATGTCCTGATACATTTGAAAGACATTAATTGTTTGTGTAAAAAGTAAAACATTTATACAAGAAAAAAAGTCATGTTACTGCTGCAATTCAAAAAAATCTTTTTCCAAATAATGTTAAAATTGAGATAATCTAAAAAAACTGTATTTCCTTTGTGTTTAAACATTACAGGGTCTATAGTTTTGTGATACTGATGTCTATGATACTGTTTTGTGTGTTTACAGGTTGAAATGTACAAGTGTTTCCGGCCAGGTGATATAGTTGTGGCACGAGTGGTATCCTTCAGTTCAGAATATCGCCGTCATAACTCCTCCTTCCTCAGGAAATCTAACTTTCTTACTATATAGTAAAATAGAAATTAAATACTCTAGTTAGGCAATAGACTATTTTTTCATTAGTAAAATTAATTTCTTATATATTTCATTCAGTAAACTTTGCCCCCTAAGAGCACTCTAAAACCAATTTTAGCGTAGATATATATTTTGCCCTATATTCCTGGTTGGCGATTGATCAGAATAGTTGATAGTTCTCTAAATGATATAACTTGCATCCTGAAGTAGGTTTGTAAGATAAAGATGCCTTGATTGTAATACACTTCATTATGATCATGGCATAAGTGTTCTCATTAAAAGCCAGTTGTCAGCAAAAGAAGCTATTCAGCAACTTTGAACTGGTTATTTTTTCAGAATATGTTTAAACAGTTCAACATTATAGTGTGTGAACATTTTACCATTTATTCTCTTCATACTGGTCAACCACCTATTTAAAATTTTAAACAATTGTTGAGAACATTGGACATAACCTTAAAATATTGAGGTTCCCATGCTAACCTAGAGACAAGTTTGATGAAAGGTTGCTATTGGAATTGCTTTTATCTCTCTTGACCTTGACCTAAGAACTAGATGTCTTTAGGAGATGCCCATTCCTATGTGTTATCTACAGCAGAAAATGAACTTGGTGTTGTCATGGCAACAAGTGAGGCTGGTAAGTTTAAATCTAGTTTTGTCAATTATGCCTCGGTCACTTGATCCTGATGTATTTTTATTGATTAATTCCATTAGTGAGAATGAAATCCAGTAGATTGTTATAATACTGATGTGATTAACTTTTGCAAATATTTTATTCAAAGCAATATTGAGTCGGTCAGAATTCTCAACTACTATTTGAAACTTTTACTTCCAGTATGGAGTTACCAGTAGAGAAATATTATACTATTTTGGTGTTCTAGTCATAAACTGCATTGTCTATAAGGCGTTGCCTCCCTTTTCTTCACAGGTTCCAACATGACCCCAATAAGCTGGTGCAAGATGAAGTGTCCTAAAACAATGGCAGAAGAATATCGCAAAGTGGCAAAAGTGCAAGCAAATTATATAAATTATTCTGATACATAGAATAAAAAAATATTGTTTTTTTCATAAAACCTTTCTGTTGTTTTATCTCAAATCACTCTTCATGGGTCACAATTTCATTAGACTTGTACCTTATATTGTTTGTTTCTGAATCAGTTCCCATCTAATTTTCTGTCTACTAAAACATTATAGTAGTCTAGAAGTTTCGTTCAGATTAAATGAGGCAGTAGACGAGTATATAAATTTAACTTAAAGTCCATTCTTTCTGTTGTCACATTATTACGTGGTAATGTGTTGTACAGTTTTATAAACTGACAAAGTTTGGGGGTATACTGCTATGACAAACATCTGCTTGAAAAATTCAGAATTGACAGGGACAAGGATAATTTAATAAGTCAATCTTGACAATCCTAACAGCCTTTTGCTGCTCTGCAATGTCATCACCTTAACCTCATCGTTACCTTTAACCTTTTAACTTGACGAGGTTTCAACGGTGGGCAAGATACAGATAGCGATAAATCCCCCCCGGAAACCGGGGGGGGGGGGGGGGGGGGGGGGGACTATAGTTTTACGTCGTCTCCGGCCGGCCGGCCATCCATCTTTCCTTCCATCCTTCCTTCCATCCATCCTTCCGCTATCTTGTCCGGCTCTATCTCCTACACTACTTGTCACTGGAACTTCTTACTTGTGGTATGGGTTCACCTTGGTGAGGCGTTATGATCTGTATCAAAAGTAGGTCACTCTGACCTACATTTTGACCTTTGGCCTACATCAAAGAAAAAGTTTGTTCGGGCTCTATCTCCTACAACTCTAGTTACTGGAACTTCATACTTGTGGTATGGGGTCACCTTGATGAGGCGGTGTGTCGTCTATTAAAAGTAGGTTACTCTGACCTATATTTTGACCTTTGACCTGCATCAAAGAAAAAATTTGTTCCGGCTCTATCTCCTACACTACCCTGTTACTAGTCACTGAAACTTCATACTTGGGGTATGTGTTCACCTTGGTGAAGCAGTGTATCGTGTACTAAAAGTAGGTCATGCACACCTACATTTTGACATGCATCAAAGAAACAGTTTGTCCAGGCTCTATCTCCTACACTGCTAGTTACTGGAACTTCTTGCTTGGAGTATTGGTTCATCTTGGTGAGGCGGTATGTTAGATACTCTGTTTTTGACGTTTGACCTGCATCAAAGAAAAAGTTTGTCCAGGCTCATCTCCTACACTGCTAGTTACTGGAACTTCTTGCTTGGGGCATGGGTTCACTTGCATTGAAGAAGAAGCATAACATAGTGTCACCAGATGCAATTTAATAGTAAAACAGTACCACTAACCAGTAAACATCCACCAGATTTATTTGCAATAGTAGCACTGACACTTTTCCTTATTGAGTACGGTGGGTCTGTCAAACATTCAATTATAGAATTAGTTCCTGCACAAATTTATCATCTGTGCATTTCACATTAGGTGGGGGACTATAATTTGCCAAATTGTCTTGTTTTTCAAGTTATTCCATCAGAAATTATTCAACCTTACAACCTACAATCTGATTGGCTATTGTTTTGTGTTTACCAACTTCATTTTGCACAGGAAAATGCAAAGTAAGGGGATATTCACATAGGTTAAGAGAAGACACTGTCAGATCATAGCTGCTAAAATGGGGTCAGAATAAAAAATAAATGATTATGTCATCCTTCTACTATATGTTGCGTTGGATGAGTTTGAAGAATAATTTTCAAAGACAGTTTATTACCTTGCTGAGGTTAATAGCAATGACCTTGCTGAAGTTAAACTGACCTTGCTGAGGTTAAAATCTATGACCTTGCTGAGTTAAAAATCTATGACCTTGCTGAGTTAAAAACCTATGACCTTGCTGAAGTTAAAACTATGACCTTGCTGAAGTTAAAACTGACCTTGCTGAAGTTAAAACCTATGACCTTGCTGAGATAAAAAGCTATGACCTTGCTGAAGTTAAAAGCTATGACCTTGTTGAAAATAAGACCTATAACCTTGTTGAGGTAACAACTATGACCTTGTTGAGGTTAAAACATATGACTTATTGAGGTAAAAACTATGACCTTGTTGAGGTAAAATCTGTGCCCTTACTGAGGTAAAACCTATGAACTTGTTGAGGTAAAACCTGTGACCTTGCTGAGGTAAAACCTATGACTTTGTTGATGTTAAATTCTGTGACTTTGTTGACGTTAAAATCTATGACCTTGCAGAGGTAAAAAATATCACTGCTGAGATTAAAACCTTTGACTTTGTTGAGGTTAAAATCTTTGACCTTGCTGAGGTAAAAAATCTGACTGTGCCGAGGTTAATACCTATGACTTAGCTAAGGTTAAAACCTATGACTGTGCTGAGGTTAATACCTATGACTTAGCTGAGGTTAAAACCTATAACCTTGTAGAGGTAAAACCTATGACCTTGTTGAGGTAAAACCTGTGCCCTTACTGAGGTAAAACCTGTGACCTTGCTGAGGTAAAACCTATGACCTTGTTGAGGTAAAACCTGTGCCCTTGCTGAGGTAAAACCTCTGACCTTGTTGAGGTAAAACCTGTGACCTTGCTGAGGTAAAACCTCTGACCTTGTTGAGGTAAAACCTGTGCCCTTACTGAGGTAAAACCTATGAACTCGTTGAGGTAAAACCTGTGACCTTGCTGAGGTAAAACCTATGACCTTGTTGAGGTAAAAGCTGTGCCCTTACTGAGGTAAAACCTATGAACTTGTTGAGGTAAAAAAACCTGTGACCTTACTGAGGTAAAACCTGTGACTTTATTGAGGTAAAACCTATGAACTTGTTGAGGTAAAACCTATGACCTTGTTGAGGTAAAACCTGTGACCTTGCTGAGGTAAAACCTATAACCTTGTAGAGGTAAAAAAACCTGTGACCTTACTGAGGTAAAACCTGTGACTTTACTGAGGTAAAACCGATGAACTTGTTGAGGTAAAACTATGACCTTGTAGAGGTAAAACCTGTGACCTTGCTGAGGTAAAACCTATAACCTTGTAGAGATAAAACCTGTGACTTCACTGAGGTAAAACCGATGAACTTGTTGAGGTAAAACTATGACCTTGTTGAGGTAAAACCTGTGACCTTGCTGAGGTAAAACCTATAACCTTGTAGAGGTAAAACCTGTGACTTCACTGAGGACCCTGCTGATCTCCAGTTATGGACATGGAGCTCACTAGGAAAGAGGTAGAATGGCTACATCATTTGAGTACAGGTCCCTGTCTAGAAGGGGAACATTGAGGTTCATGAAGCATACAAAAGCAGAAGATGGAGAGTAGATTACTATATAAATAGTGACATGAATTAATTTGAAGACATTTGTCTGCACTATAAAGAGAATATACGGTGTAAGTAAGTATATATTTATCATATATTGCTAATATTTTATGTATTATGCTTTCCAGTTATTTTCAATGGGACATTTTCACTTATACCCCAAGTCACTTTATACACAAAGTATTTCTGATTGCTCCATATCACGAGGGTATTAGGGCATGTACCCCCGTGGAGGGTATTAGGACATGAACCCTGTGGAGGGGATTAGGACATGTACCCCCATGGAGGGTATTAGGACATGAACCCTGTGTAGGGTATTAGGACATGAACCCTGTGTAGGGTATTAGGACATGAACCCTGTGTAGGGTATTAGGACATGTTCCCCCATGGAGGTGATTAGGACATGTACCCCCATGGAGGGGATTAGGACATGAATCCTGTGGAGGGTATTAGGACATGTACCCCCATGGAGGTTATTAGGACATGTACCCCCGTGGAGGGCATTAGGACATGTACCCCCGTGGAGGGTATTAGGACATGAATCCTGTGGAGGGTATTAGGACATGTACCCCCGTGGAGGGAATGAGGAGATGTTCCCATGTGGAGGGTATTAGGACATGTACCCCCATGGAGGTTATTAGGACATGTACCCCGTGGAGGGCATTAGGACATGTACCCCTGTGGAGGGTATGAGGACATGTACCCCTGTGGAGGGTATGAGGACATGTACCCCCGTGTAGGGTATGAGGACATGTTCCCCTGTGGAGGGTATTAGGACATGTACCCCTGTGGAGGGTATTAGGACATGTACCCCCGTGGAGGGAATGAGGACATGTTCCCATGTGGAGGGTATTAGGACATGTACCCCTGTGGAGGGTATGAGGACATGTACCCCCGTGGAGGGTATGAGGACATGTTCCCCTGTGGAGGGTATTAGGACATGTACCCCCGTAAAGGGTATTAGGACATGTACCCCTGTGGAGGGTATGAGGACATGTTCCCCTGTGGAGGGTATTAGGACATGTACCCCTGTGATGCCTTGTTTTCATTGATAAAACACTGAGAGCAGTTTTGATTAAAAGATAAGTAAAAAAAAAGCAGGTATAAAGTAAGTTGCTTTAATGAGTAAATATCAAAGCCAGGTACAAAAATAGAAACAGGTAGATATTGTCCGAGCATGACCGTGAACACACCACACGCTGAACAAACGTTAACAAACATCAGACTGATCATCTATTGACTGAGATTCCTCGGCCCATTTATAAATAGCATAAAAGTTCACACACAGGTTAATGATATGTATAAGATAATGTAACCAACATTTAAATACATGGTATAAATTACAACAGAGTACTTACTCTATGTAAATAAGTACAGTTTGATCTAGGTTCTTTGGAATTACTGATATAAATACTTGAGTTATATATATAGTCATATTGTAGCTTTAATAAATGTGAACTTGCAGTAGTGTCCTCGCAGGACAAGGCACAAAGGGGTATTAATACAGACCTGGTAAAGCTAGTATAGTGTACAACAGATGTATGTTAACATTAACATCTAAATATCAACTAAAAACCTAGTGTCTACAAACTACAGCAGGATATTGCACAGCACTATGTTTAAAGCATTCAGATCTAGATAACAATACGTTTTTAATCAAATTCTTTTACATTTGTATACATTTTAAACCTTTTTGTTGAATTCTGATCGCCTCATAATGTACATTTTCTCCATCTTTATTTAACAGTTAATTTTATTTCTAATTGTACATTGAAATTGTTATTGAAAACAACAAAACAAAATATGTAAGATGGCATTAGTATTTTATAAGGAATAAAAGCATATAGCATAACTTGTGAGATTGAAGACAAAACATGTTTTTCTTTACACTGCCTCACTCACTAGAACCTGTGGTTGCTATGCCAATAAATAACATGAACATGAAGTCCCATGATAGGGATGCTACCGTCCTCACTTAATCAAATAAAACTGGTAGTACATGCACTACTATACCTGGTACTAGAAATTCTACATCAATACACACTTATGCTAGGTATGTAACTTAATCGCTCTGACCATTATTCTGAGCTTGACTTGTTAACATCAAAGAAATAAAAATATACTTAATCCTTTCTTTATGGGAATATGATGATCAGGCAAACTCTTTACCATATGGTAACTTAGCCCTTCCCTCCTTCATTGGAACAACAAATATCTAATTTAGGCACCTCCTTTAAGGGAACACCAACAACCCATAGCCATATATATATCAACTAGGACATATCTAGTTAAGGAGCCTCCTTCAAGGGAAATATGGTAACTTAGCCCTTCCCTCCTTCATTGGAACAACAAATATCTAATTTAGGCACCCCCTTTAAGGGAACCCCAACAACCCATAGCCATATCTAGATCAACTAGGCCATATCTAGTTAAGGCGCCTCCTTTAAGGGAACACAAACAACCCATAGCCATATCTATATAAACTAGGCCATATCTAGTTTAGGCACCTCCTTTAAGGGAACACCATCAACCCATAGCCATATCTATATCATCTAGGCCATATCTAGTTTAGGAGCCAACTTCAAGGGAACACCAACACCCCATAGCCATATCTATATCAACTGGGCCATATCTAGTTTAGGCGCCTCCTTTAAGGGAGCACCAACAACCCATAGCCATATCTGTATCAACTAGGCCATATCTAGTTAAGGCGCCTCCTTTAAGGGAACACCAGCAACCCATAGCCATATCTATATCACCTAGGCCATATCTAGTTTAGGCGCCTCCTTCAAGTGAACACCAACAACCCATAGCCATATATATATCAACTAGGACATATCTAGTTAAGGAGCCTCCTTTCAGGGAACACCAACAACCCATAGCTATATCTAGACCAACTAGGCCATATCTAGTTTAGGCACATCCTTTAAGGGAACACCAACAACCAATAGCCATATCTGTATCAACTAGGCCATATCTAGTTAAGGCGCCTCCTTTAAGGGAACACCAGCAACCCATAGCCATATCTATATCAACTGGGCCATATCTAGTTTAGGCGCCTCCTTTCAGGGAACACCAACAACCCATAGCCAAAAATATACTTAATCCTTTCTTTATGGGAATATGATGATCAGGCAAACTCTTTACCATATGGTAACTTAGCCCTTCCCTCATTCATTGGAACAACAAATATCTAATTTAGGCACCTCCTTTAAGGGAACACCATCAACCCATAGCCATATCTATATCAGCTAGGCCATATCTAGTTTAGGAGCCTCCTTTAAGGGAACATCAACAACCCATAGCCATATCTATATAAACTAGGCCATATCTAGTTTAGGAGCCTCCTTTAAGGGAACATCAACAACCCATAGCCAAATCTATATCAAATAGGCCATATCTAGTTTAGGCGCCTCCTTTAAGGGAACACCCACAACCCATAGCCATATCTATATAAACTAGGCCATATCTAGTTTAGGCGCCTCCTTTAAGGGAGCACCAACAACCCATAGCCATATCTAGATCAACTAGGCCATATCTAGTTTAGGAGCCTCCTTCAACGGAACATCAACAACCCATAGCCATATCTAGACCAACTAGGCCATATCTAGTTTAAGCGCCACCTTTAAGGGGACACCAACAACCCATAGCCATATTTAGACCAACTAGGCCATATCTAGTTTAGGAGCCAACTTCAAGGGAACACCAACACCCCATAGCCATATCTATATCAACTGGGCCATATCTAGTTTAGGCGCCTCCTTCAAGGGAACACCAACAACCCATAGCCATATCTAGACCAACTAGGCCATATCTAGTTTAGGCGCCTCCTTTAAGGGAACACCAACAACCCATAGCCATATCTGTATCAACTAGGCCATATCTAGTTTAGGAGCCAACTTCAAGGGAACACCAACAACCCATAGCCATATCTATATCAACTAGGCCATATCTAGTTTAGGCGCCCCCTTCAAGGGAACATCAACAACCCATAGCCATATCTAGACCAACTAGGCCATATCTTAGTTTAGGCGCCTCCTTCAAGGGAACACCAACAACCAGTAGCCAAATCTATATCAACTAGGCCATATCTAGTTTAGGAGCCTCCTTTAAGGGAACACCAACAACCCATAGCCATATGTATATCAACTAGGCCATATCTAGTTAAGGATCCTCCTTCAAGGGAACATCAACAACCCATAGCCATATCTTGACCAACTAGGCCATATCTTAGTTTAGGCGCCTCCTTTAAGGGGACACCAACAACCCATAGCGATATCTATATCAACTAGGCCATATCTGGTTTAGGCACATCCTTCAAGGGGACATCAACAACCCATAGCCATATCTATATAAACTAGGCCATATCTAGTTTAGGAGCCCCCTTTAAGGGAACACCAACAACCCATAGCCAGTTCTATATCAACAAGGCCATATCTAGTTTAGGAGCCTCCTTCAAGGGAACACCCTTCATTGGAACAACAAATATCTAATTTAGGCACCTCCTTTAAGGGAACACCAACAACCCATAGCCAGTTCTATATCAACAAGGCCATATCTAGTTTAGGAGCCTCCTTCAAGGGGACACTAACAACCCATAGCCATATCTATATAAACTAGGCCATATCTAGTTTAGGCACCTCCTTCAAGGGGACACCAACAACCCATAGCGATATCTATATCAACTAGGCCATATCTAGTTTAGGAGCCTCCTTTATGGGAATATTGTTAGTCCTTTGCATGACTGAAATAGGTCTCTTCTGACACATTTGTATACACAAATACAATTTTTTTTACAACGAGACCGGCTGGCACATTTAGTTAATACTGTTTAAAATTAGAGAAAACAACAACAAAAATGTTAATAAAAATATAGGATTGTATGTTAACCAGTGAATTGTCGACTAGCTGATAAACACAATTAATACAGTAACATAAGTATGTGATTAAAAAAGTATGTGGAGAATACAAAAGATGTGTTCGAGTAGCGTAAACATACTCCATCTGTCAACACTGAGGTTTACACGTCATTAAAATACAACGCATGGTGCGACATAGAAAGACATTCCAGGAAATAGCACTTTGGTCCCTAACTGAACATAAAAAAGGCAGGAAACACCAGTAGAGCCCTCGGCCATCTCTATCTGGTCTTGTGATCTTGTAATAGAAATGAAGCTATCCTTGGAAGACACTTAGTACTCAAACCAAACTATCCCATCACCAAAATAAAACCCCTCCACCATCACTGACAAACCTGTGGACACCAGAACAATTCAACATTCCACTGACAATAAAATCAACAACTTAACTCCTGTAATTCTCACACAGAAGTACAATAATAGGTAATGAGAAATAATAATAACAAATATTTAGTAATCTACATGATGTTAACATATCAAGCTAGCTACAAGCTGAAACTACTAAATATCAATGTATTTTGATATGATGTTTTCTTAATCTTGCCTTTATGTTGACGCAGACAACTATTATGCAGTTTATTTCCACTATTCATCAAGGAGTGTACTTTCTAATAAAGCAATTCTAGCGACATGTGTTACATCCCATAAAATATCACAAACACACCTAACAATTAACTATGCAAGCTGATCACAGGAGAAGGCTGTCCTGTCTTGCTTGTATTTGTTAACAGTGTGTTTAAGTGTAAACACTTAAAACATATTTTTGGCAGAGAAAGTTTTTAAAACATTACAAATTAACTGATTAAACAGGATTTTGGTGACAGTTATAACAAAGTAAATCATACCAACAACAGTCTGTGAAAAGAGTCATTATTTAACACAACACAGAATTTATCTCAAAATCAGTTTAAACTTCAACAATTTTCAACAAATGATAGGCATAAATAACAAAAGCTAATTTTTTAACTAGCATTTACACCATTACGTTCAATGCATGTTCTATATTTAATAACGCTGTATATGTATAATCAATGTTAACCATCTTTGATGTATGTAAATCTTCTATATGCAATAACTACTACATGTACCTGGTTTTTGAAAGCAATCAGCCATTATTATATTTCATATTAAGATCTATCTTATATGCTTTTCTAAAGTATTTAAAATGTGAATTTAAAAATTTCATGATCATGTAACAAACCCAGTTATAACTTATACAATTAACCGTTTCTTTAGTGACTTTAATAATTTGAAGCTGAAAAAGGACATACACAGTCACACATATCTGTTAATATCTGGGGTAATCACACACAGGGTTTCAATGGCATGACTTTGGTTATTTCATCTAAGTAGACAGGTCGCACCATATAATCAGCCTGGCCTGACTTATCCTCGAAGTGTTGGATACGATCGATAAAGTCCTGAAAATCTCTCTGGGTGTCTGCCAGTACAGCTTCAACCTTTTTCTTTTCTGCTTCAACTTCAAGAATTTGCTTCTCTCGTTTTTTGATTTCCGCAAGTTTTTCCTGTATTTCCTTTCCTAGTTTAACTATTTTCTGTTGAAATTCCGCGGTGAGTAGTTTGATTTTCTCTACAGTGATGCTCCGTTCACGCTGCTCCACTTCTGCGACAGCCTTCACTCGTTCGCTGTTCTTCGCCGTCTCTAATTCTATCAGAGCCATCCTCTTCTCTTCCTTGGCCTTTACTGCAGCTGCTTTGAACTTGTCTTCGTGGATTCTGAAGAACAACAGCATATAATGTATTTGACTATACCACAAGCAGACATAAGGTAAATCAGAAAATTGTACCTAAAACAGTCCAAGTTACCAGTACCCAATGTAACTCACCTAATGATGCGTGCCACCTCCCTGGCAGCCATTTCCTTTTCTTCCTTCCTGGCGACCTCGACAGCAATCTTCAGCTCAGCTCGCCCCTTCTCCTCAGCAGCTCGGACAGCCACGGTTAGACGTTCCTCCCCCTCCATGCGTGCCTGCTTCACCTGTTCAATGGCAAGCTTCTGCATGGCCATTTCCACACGCAGAGCTTCCTCCTGTTAAAGTAAATGTGTCGCTCAAAAGTTGGTCAAGGTCATATCTTATTGCCTTTCCTTCCAGTAAACTACAGGCGAAATAACATGACTCTGGGCTTCTTGGTTATTTAAATGAAGTTGTGTTAAGGGCATTTGAACAAACTAGACATCCCTTTATTGCAGCATATTGCTGGCCAAATATCATTATCCTAGGCCTCTTGGTTATAAATAAGTCCTCACAGTCTAAGAAAAGCATTTAGGAAGGATAGATATGACATACAAATGGGCAATGCACTTGCCCTTTTTGTCAGATGAGTTAAATTTTGGAAAAAGTTTAACAGGAAAATAATGCCTAGATCTCTGTCCTAAATGGGTTCTTCCCCCAACCCCCTGAAAAAGATAACCAATTTTGAAGAACCAAGGTACCAAGAGACTTATTGTATGTATTAGTTAATGTGTGATATATGTGTATATGAAAGTTTATTTGCCTGTTTAATCAGTACAAGTAAGTACTAAGAGGGTATCTGACAAGTGTTATGTACTATATCAAGAGATATATCAATGTTTATCAAGAGACAAAGTACAGCTGTGTGGTGTTATCTGTTCAAGATTAGGATCAACTGTGATACATAAGACTGAGGCCACAGGAGGGGATACTCTCCCTGTCACGGTTTTATCCAAAATATATTGAGGCCACTTCTCCCTGTCACGGTTTTATCTACAGTATATTGAGGCCACAGGAGGGGATACTCCCTGTCGTTGTCATATCTTCTGTGTATGCTAGTTTTATCAACATGTACAGCTGTCCTACTTTACACACCTGGTCTGTCACACAATAGATCACACACAGTAGATCACACACAGCACAAATTCTTCAATCGCGAAGTATTACAGGCATGAAAAAACCCATTAATTACCATTTGAGTTTAATCCATATGACCTCAACCTGCCCATTTTTAATGGAAGACCATAGCCTTTCTGCTAAAAACCAAGTCTTTCCCAATCTTATACAGACAATCGTCCTTCCCTATTGAACACAATGTCCATTAGTGACCTGTGTGACAGTTTCCCAATACACAGTATATCACAAATCATACCATATTAATCAAACAGTCCAGCCTCCAGGGCCTGGTCTTTGTATTGTTGGTTTTAATGTCAATGAAAAATCATTTTATGGAAAATAATAAAATTACTTATTTAGTACTGATTTAATTGATAAAAAGTTCATGATCCATATTTATTATAGCATATAAATGAAACAAGATTCAAAACCAAACGGTAAATAAATATATTTTGTGTTTGAAACAGTTCTTTTTACATACCAGTTCACTAGTAACGGCTGTCTTTACATTGGTTCGATTGTGTACAGTGTGATGTGTGTGTACACCACTGATAAGTGCATTGACAGTGAATGTGTGCGACGATATGCTGTGTGATGTCATCACGAAATTGACCAGACTCTCCCAGTCTATGTCACCCTAATTTTCCATCAGAGGTGGAACCCATGCCATACAGCACGGAATTATTCAGGGTTCAATCAGAGGTCAACATCAACCAAGAGACATGATAAAGCGAATATTGAATCATTTGGAATGTGACCCTGTCACAGAACTGACGGTACACACACTTGTGTTAGTACATGTTGATAATGGAGTATGCATTCTGCTACTCCATATTTAGTTTTGTTACATGTATCATATCTAGGTCAAGGTTTTCAACATGTCAGTTTTTCCGTAATTAACTTAATTACCATATCCAAGGAAAACTTCTCAATGGGTGCATCAGTTGATTGAGGTAAATATGTTTTCTTTTGTTTCAAAGCTGATACAAAAAATCCACTTCTAAAACTGTTTTCATATAATGGAACTTTGGTGAGGTAAAACTGTTTGACATTTAATGTTGGGTACCTTGGTACCATCTTATGAGTATACCTTGGGTAGTGTTACATGTAACGATTGTGTAAAGCTTCTGAAAACTTTTACTATCTTACATAACAGCTGGCCGCTCACTATACTCCCTCAGTCCATCATTCAACCACAATTGGTATCTTATCTCGTATAAATGTTGTAGTGAATGTTGAGAAAAACATGTAGAAACCCTTACTCACAAGTAAAATGTTCTCACATAAAAACGATACATCAAAGGTATCAAACTGCAGTGACAGGCAGATAATGTTTTAGTGTGAATTATAAAATCCCCTAGAAAAAATTCTGCTGTACTTTCCTCAAATCACTTTATTTTCCCAAAATTAAGTTTTTTGTATGTCATATCTTCCCAAAGTCACAAGGCACAGGCTCCTGTGGAAATTAGGTTAGAAATAGTAGGAATAGTACAGCACATCTGTGATGACGTAAATGATCTCAAATCAGTAGCAGTCAACACATCTGATTGGAATCAGTGTTTTACGTAAGTTTTCACACTTGATGAACAACTATTATAAAGATAATTACAAGTGTTCATTTATGGTGTTAATTGTTTGCTAACTGGTTCAGTAGGGTACCCAAACACAAAGTAAAACACTGCATAATTTTTGTAGTTATTCAAAATTTAAGCTCTTTTTTTTAGTTTTACCACAACCTGCTCTTTTTCTAATAAGAAAAGAAACATCTCTATTTGGAACACCTGTATCTCTATTATTTGAGAATGTACCATAAATATAGTTCTGAGGATGCTGTAAGAGCATGACAGTCAGATGGAAAGAACCTCAGGTGATTAAATGTAATAAGTACTGACTGTCGGCATGGGGCAATATCATGTACCTTCATGCCAACTTTTCTATAAATTTTGCCATATCAGGTAATTCTAAGTAAACTCAGTTGAAAAGATTATACCTCCAAAGAAGATTGGACTATTTTTAAATGATAAGCAATTGGCATTTTAACATTGAAAAATTCACAATTTTCTTACTTTTGCCAATGGCTTTTCCCAATTTGGACCAAAGATCTGTTGATGAATCCTTTCAAGCAGGACTTAACATTTTTACTGATATTTCACTTTGTTGTGTTAGACCATGCCGATTAAGTTTTGATTAACTTTTATAATTAATATAAGTAGCAAACTTGCCTTCAGGGCCTTCTGATGAACTTTGTTGAATTTCTCAATGACTCGTTCCTGTTCTATGGCGGCCTCTTCCCTCGACCTTGCAAGGGCAGCATTCTTGATTAGCTCTGCCTCTACCCACACTGAGGTCTCGGCATCCCGAATTGATTTCAACTTTTCCAGCTCAGCAATATCCAAGGTCTGCCTGTGCAGCTCATGGCCAATATCTGCAAAAATAATCAATCCAACCATTACAAATCTTATTGAAAGATGAATCAAATTAGACTCTACACAGGTTTGAATGCAATCCCATATATATAAGATCTTCTGACCCTTTTAGGATTTATAGTGCACATCTTTTAATAAGTGGCATAAACATCTATTTACAAGAACAAATGTGTAATAAAGCAGAAAAGTGCATGGCCACACCGCGATTCAAACCTGGGACCCTCTGAACTCTAGATGGACACTCTACCAATTGAGGTACAAGCCTTGTCTGTCAATACACCCTAAGATTATATAATTAATGGGTGTATTGACAGACGAGGCTGGTACCTGTGGCTACCTCATCACCGATGATAAACCAGTTCTGCTTCATTCCTCCCTCCTTTATTGCAAGTCTTCTCTCCCAAAGACACAACTATTACAACCCAGTGTTGACAAGCTACTAATAGGAGCTGGAAAATTCCAGCTAGGCCAGACTAGGATTCAAACCAAGGACCCACCAAACTCTAGATAGACCCTCCACCATTTGAGGTACCTGGTCGCCAACAATCAACCTATTACAGTTCAGCTACAGATGGAACACACGCTGATTGATCACGAACATAAGAATGAAAGATTGTACCAACAGATGCAGGGTACAAGCTACGTACCCAGTGACTCATGTTTTGTAATACTGTTGCAGGATCAGATGATATATGTTACACAATGTGGTGTACACCATGTGTGCACGATAAAAGAACCGAGTGATAATAGCTATTCTATTTATGAATTTTGAAGTGTTTGTTTACGTAACATACTCAGTATTCTTCTATGGGCATGGCCTTGAATCAACACCGGTCGTGTCTCCTCATATCTCTTTGGTACTCCTGTGTATCTTGCTAGAGTAGGTAGACTGAAAGAAAGGTTTTGTGTCGTCCTGTCCGAACTCCTCCGCCTAGGTTGTTCTGTATGTGCAGACATGTTGTTCACGATTATCAACCACTTAAAGAGAATCTATTTGAGGTTGACTTTTTTAGAGCAACATGTTATTCCACCATGACATAAGCAGCGCCTGTCATTTGACAGCTCCACCTGAACTTTACGAATACACGTTATCTATATGTCTACATGTACATCCGTCTATGCATCTAAGAATATCTAGTCGTTAAGTAGCTTCTGAATCTAATTCATCCTTAATAGCACTGCAGTTACAATACTTTTCGTGTGGTGTAACTTGTTTCAGCAACCTAGACTACATCATTGCCACTGGTTTTACCGGAAGTGATATTTTTCAACAAATAGTGCACAAAAACATTCTTATAACAGAGTAAAGTAAATGTCACACGTGTGCACTATTGTTATTTCGGTAAAAGTCAGTTTTACTTCACATTTAAAGCATATTAATGTCTTTAAAGCATTTTAAACGTTTTGCGTATTGATACATTTTGAAAACGAAAGCGTCAATGGTTGCTAATGGTGATCTCACGAGAATATAGCGGGAATATACGAGATGTATTTCGTCATCACCGGAAGTGACATCAAAATGAGGTGAGGGCTGAAGTATTGTCAAAAATAATTTAGTCTGAACATCCCACAGCCAGTGATGTTGATATGACAGACAGGCTCGCATTCCATTTGTAAGGTAATATTGTGTTATACATCTTATTAAATACGTTGAAATTGCAGGATATAACTGTTTTTGTTTCAGTAGATTCCTAGAACGATAAATGTTACAAGTAGTTGCGACCACGTGCACCTCGCGAGCTGATTTACTTTGCACGTGGAGCACGCAATGTACATGGCGAGTTTTCGCCACATTCTTCGCGACAGTAAAATAACATGCGTATATTGTTTGCGATAATGACTGAATACTGCTCGGTTATGATTGTGTCGCAATATCTTTCTATTTAATATACATCAGGTCCAGTACACTCTGCCGATTGAGCTATATAGCTATAAAGACCTATATAGCTATATACACCTATAAATTATAGCTGTATTGAGCTATATTTTCTCAGATTTCAAATTTCATTAAATTAAAGCAATGTCGCATAAAACAATAAGGTTATTGGTAATGTTGACTACAAAAAGCATACAGTTAGATGTTTATTTTCATTTTTCATAAATGTAAAATTTCCGATTTCTTTACATCATTATTTTTTAAAAAGAATACTTATATTTAATGTCTTTTGTTATCAACTTAATGATACAATCTTCTTTTAAATGCGACTTCGTTCCGTTTTCCTTAAAAAAGAAAATCACTTGAAAATAGCTCAAAAGACCTATTTCAGATAGGTCAATAGAGCTATTATAGGTCTTTACAGCTATATAGCTCAATCGGCAGAGTGTACTGGACCTGTACATATGTTACCAATAGTCAGTAATATAACTTAGTCATCATCGTTGGCATCATTGAAAACGAAGCGATGTCAGCGACCTGTTTGTATTTTTTTTATGTTGACATCACTCCCGGTTAATTTAGAGTAAATACAGGTTTACCATCAGACACATTGTCCGACCGTTCGTTGTATAATAATCCAAAATGTAAATGTTGTTAACAGGCTGGATGGATATTCGCAACCCAGAGATTATTTCTTTGTATGTTATATATGGTAATTTTGCCACAGGAGCCTGAAGTTCTGTCAATAATCAATAATAACAGTAATACAAAAAATGACTTTATTATGGTTAAAAAATAAGCATATTATAGGTATATTTTTGTTTTACTGTTATTATTCATTATTGACAGAACTTCAGGCTCCTGCAGTCTGAGCTTACATCAAACAATTTGTAATTAATGGATGTAAAAATTAAACAGTTTATTTTCATTAGCTGTACAAAAAACCTTGGTAAATAAAGCTTAACTAACCTCCTGTTCATATTGGAATTTGAAATGTACAGTTGACTTGCACATCATTGACAAAAAACGTCATGGTGGTAATGTTATCATAGACTAACTGGTTATAAACTTTATTTACAGAAAAGAATTAGGTTGTGATATTTAAGTATGTATGGTCGCAATAAAAAGAGCTTTCAAGAACGGTCCCCATCGCTGGTTGACAAGTAGTCTAATAGTACTATTGTAACATACAAATTCAGTCCATGCGAAATACAGTTTTCTTACAGGACATTCAGTCTGGTTACTATCCCAGTACAGTAGTTCCTTCAATTAATAACCTATTGACCATGTTCAAAGGATCCAGTGGTAATTGCTTTAGGCTCCAGTAAGCCCACTTGCCAGACACCGGTGAGCTTGTCAATAACTGGACATTCAACTTCCACCAGGTCCAGGCTAGTCACTATCGCTCGACGACATGGTAGCACTCTCTATTTCCCGCCTTTGGGCACATCACTTTTAAATGATGGACGTCCGCGATCATTAGTATTTTGCCCCAGTACCTCAATTTCAATATAAAATTATTTATTCCATTACCTACTAATACAATTATGAAGATATTGTATGAATTAGATATTTTATGTGAATAGAAATATTGAAATGGAGGAACTTTTTCCTTTGTTGTCCCGGATAAAGTGGCCATGGGCGGGGTTTAGTTGTCTGTCAGCGGCTTTTCCGAATGGCTGTTTCGCATGGATTAACATGACGTGAAAATAATTTTGAACGCAGATTACACAAGGTAAATGCTTGTATTCGACTCTTTTAATGGTTATTGTTAAAAGAAAATATTGTAAATATAAGGATACTTTGAATATTACATGTTAATAACTTGATTGGAATTATAACCTTGAATTGACAGTTTGATACTTTGAAAATTTTGAGCCAGCCCTACCCCCAAGGGCTGTAGGGTGGGGCTCAAAGGAGTCAAGTGTTCTAAAATTTCTTCATTTTCCTTGTTAAGAATCGGAGGTGCTAGTTTCAAATCCTTTTTAGTCTGAAATATGGATGCTAGATATTGAGTAAGGTGGTTTTATTGTTTTTTGTCACTTTGAATAATATTTCTGTTCATGTTAAAAACAAAATCAACTCTCTGTATAAATATATCAGGTGACCGTTAAGGCCCAAGGGCCTCTAGTAGATTTTGCCAGTCATGTTTAACACAACATATGTCAAAACACATGATTGACCACATCCTTGAATAAGAATGTCTAGTAACCAAAGTACAAACCAAGTTTTTGGTGTACATTGTAAGGACTACTGAGTGACACCCTCATTAGACTAGCTTTTTATTGTTCCCTACGATCGACACCTTGATCAACGAACTCTGCTCTGCGGGTAGATTGACCTGTGGGAATGTGAACGTATACAGGCCTAGGTGTTAAACGTTTACAATAGACCACAATTACCAGTGTGTAATTCGTCTAATTATAATTAATGATGTCTGTTAATTATCAAGGCTTCAGTCTACGTTTTGATTTTCATAGGTGACTGAAATACAAACACAGAGAAATTCAGACAGTACTGTAGCTTTCAGTAAAATGCAAAACATCTGCTGACCTACCTACCTTTGCTGCATTGTTTTCGACCATCAAATGTAAATGCTTGAAATAAGGAAGCTATGTGAGAAGCCTTTATCAACAAAAGACCGCCGATACAACTTTTAGAAAACTTGAAATAAATTTGGCTACAATAAGATGGATCTTAAGTGAGCAGACTGCATGTGGTGGCCATGTTGTTTTGATAACCTGAATAATGTTACATAATCTGTGATGCAGTAGCTTTTGAAACATGGATGAGTCGCCTTAATCATTTTGGCGCCAAATTTATAAATAGCACATGGTTGACAGTAACAACAAATTATTACTTTTACTGGATAAATACAATAATTCAGTTTGATAACTATATCACTGAAAACGGCATTGTTGTGATAAAATTTAGATTTTTTTTGTTTACTTTATGATAAAAGGTATCTAGGCCTGGTTAATTTCATAACTAAGGGATTTTTTTAAATGAATTTTTAAAATTAATCGGTAACTTGTCAAAATAAATAATACCTTTGGTTGGAATGTTATTATAATTTATTTCTATGATGATATTCTTGGGGGGAAAATGCTGAAGTATTTACTAAAACTATCCATTTTCTTGAGTAGGCCTATTTTTTTGTAGGTATTAAAAAAATTAAAGGAAAGGAAAAAGGCAAGAACATTTTTACTCATGTTGAGTGGCTTCGTGCACAATTGATAGATTGCGAAGCGTAAATGATTTGCCGTGCTGTGATGGAAGGGTTAAAAAATAGATACCATAGCGCATCAAAATAATTTCTGGGGAGAACACGGAATGATCAATAACAGGAATATTTGGCCATAGAGCTGTTTATGTTCAGCGACACTAAGTTCCTGATCTAGCACTTTTTAAATTAATCATAAATAAGATTCTTACACATTAACTGTAGTAAAAATACTTTTTGAATCACAGTTTTTTGCAAACAATCGATTCCCTTATGTATTTTAGGGCAGAAATGGGAAACACAATTGTTTTGTTTGGCCCTATCAATGTATCTCTTTCTTTTTTCACATTTATGTAGGATCTTGTATGAGTTTCCATTTCATATGAGATTTATGAAACAAGTCTTTAAAAAAAATTCAATTTAGCAAGCCTCTGGCGAGCTAAAATGAAAAATTTGTGACGAGTTTCATAAATAGATCATTTTTATCACATATTAAATCAAGATTTGTGGCATTTTTTTGTGTAAATTGACAATCTTATGCAACCTTGAAGTGTAAAAAGCCGCCATTTTTACTCCAGTGCGGAAGTCTATGATGTCATGTACTTGTCCAAGGTGTGACGGAACAATTGAAACTTCCAACCAATCGCAGGGCTGATAGGTCATATTGCATGTGTTCATACACACACAAAAATGACATGGATATATTCACTGGATATTAACACAGTACATTATGTGATAAATATATTTTAAATCAAATAACAATACCTAGCAAATTGATAAAGCAGATAATATATTGGAAAACTTCAATACATACTGGAATAAATACCCTGGACAGCTTGGGAACATGTGCAAGTCAGGTTAAGTGTAAGGACTTCTTATCAGTGATAATCATTAACAGTAAGTAGTCATCTCTGAAAAAGATTTTCACTTCTTTACTTTTGCTTTTTGTAATTGTCTTTAATAACATGTAATATCTAACACTCCAAATTGTCCTAGATATCATTGATGTATAAATCTGTAAACAACACATGTACTGACTAGAATTTTAAAAATCAGAATGTGTAGAATTGTATGTTGATCAGTGGACTGGAATAGAGCTCTACATGTACAAACCCATTTCAGTTTTACACTAAAGAGTCAATGGCCTGTTTACTTGTGTACAGTTTTTGGCACGATTCTACTTGCAGTATATTATGCAGTGTGTTATAGCTTGTTAAAATTTGTGAATACCTAGTACATGCGATAACCATGTAATACATGCACGTTACAAAAAGTCATTAGATTGCAAGTACAGTCTATTTATACAGGCCATGGTTCTATAAAATGACTTGTACACATATTTAGGATGTCATTGTACCTGTCCGACTTGTTTTTATGTAAAGGCTAAGCTATTGATGTATGTCATCCACATTATGTCATGGTACCTGTCTGACTTGTTTTTATGTAAAGGCTAAGCTACTGCTGTATGACATCCACATTATGCAATATGGAAGAAAATGGGACTGAACACAGTGTGTTGTCAACCTTGGCTACCTCATAAACCCGAAAAATATTTATTGTTATGTACCATATTTCACTGGTGATGAGCTGATGGGCCTGTGGATGAAAATGTGTCAAAAGTATGAGGTGGGCTTATCGCCAAAGGACAGAATATATCATTACGTTTTCATGAAGAAATTTGGTCTTGACTACAGCCAGTGGCTTGCTCTAAAGATTTAATCAAACATCTTGCATTTGCTCATTCAAACAATAACGAATGTAGGGCCATAATTTGTCCAGCAGAAAAGGGGATTTATTGAAGTAGTCATATGAGTAATCAGAAAAGAAAACTACAGGACCACACCATAGGCAGTTCAGTTCAAGTTGGAGGACTGCAAGCCTAAGGGAAGGGATTAAGTAACCCATTCCAATGTCACAAGAAATTATGAGAATGATTATTTGCCTTGATTCGCTTGGCAGTAAAATACAACATCTAATAAAATATCTTCCCTCGTATTTGCTTGGCTCCACATTGAAATAGTACCTCAACTTATGATGAAAAATCTTTGCCTCACTCTGCTAAGTATGGAGAATACTGTCCCGTTCTCAGACACAATACCTGCCACTCTGTTGAGCAAAGATTAAAATAACTTAAAACCCATCTTAAGAAATAATTAAACAGCTTTCCTATTTCCGTTTTGTCATAACTTTCAATAGTACCCCAAATACATCTACAAAACAAAATCTAGACTCAATGTTGTTGAAAATAGTTCTGGAATACATACATTTGCCTCTCCATTTATCAAACATTGAAATAATTCAGTTAGGCCCCTTAAGTCACATTCAGTATTTTTGTTTTCCTTAATTTTACAACACAGCCTGTTCCTTTTTGAATTGGGGCAAAACAAATATTTTTATTGAATTTTGGAATATATTTCTCATTTTTTTTGTCATTTTGGAAAAATGAGGCATTTTTTTGCTGTGAGAAACAGCCTGTGTTCGGCTGTTAAACTGACCAAAAAACACTGACTTTTTATATTTGTTTTTAAAACATTTTTCATAAAATCTCGGGTCTTAGATTCTGCATTCTGAAAAGAAAGTTTAGTTGTGAGGTGGAGGTCTGTAATTCACATACATAAACTACACTGAGGTCAGTTATTTGATACTACATGTACTTGCTGGTCGCAAAAACATACATAATTTTTACCTGACCCGTTTCTTAACAAAGAGGTCACTAGTGTTAACAATAACTTAGTTGGCCGACTCTGTTGATGATTATGGAAAGTATGACACACTTCCCGACAAGGTTTACAGTAAATAATCATTGTTAATGTGACAATACAAATAAGCAATCGAAGACTATTAAAACAAAATGACATTTTAATTTTAAATATGTAAAAATAAACAATGGTTCAAAGAATAGAATGTAGCATATATTAAGTACCGACACAAAAACGCTTGTCCCAGGGAAGTGCCATTTTGTCTTGGAACCAGGGCTTCATTTTGGAGATTTTGACATAATACACTTAAATGAAATTAATACCAAAAATGTTGGATCATTCTCTCAAAATGCATACCTTTTCACAAGGGTCTTGAAAAGCATTTTACAAATTCTTCCCAACTGATATCACCAGAGATTATAAATTACCCTTTCTCAAACATATGTTTTCATAGGTCTGTTAATAATTTACAGATTTTTCATAACTTTGACATTGTGTTGTAAGTATCCTTAATATATCTTCATCATTTCCTGGTTTTATTTTTGCAGTTTATGATAAAAAACAGATCAATGGATTTGGCTGATTTTCACCCTGATTCTTTTGGGTTGGATGGAATTGCAGGTCTGGCTCAATTCCAACATGACGGTCTTCTCGATGTACCCAGTATAGGGGACTTACCTGGATTGAATGGTGAGTCAACATGAATGGTTTCTCTTAAGTTTTCCTATCATGTATAGGGGATCTGTCTGTATTAATTGGTAAGTTAACATGAATGGTAGGTCTTCAGGGTTTCTCTTCTATATAAAGTAGGCTATCTCACTCTGGCTTCTTGATCAGTGTTCAAATGGTAAGTAGAGGGTGATTTTCATAGGTTATCTTTATCCTGCAGTATAGGGGATACCGGAACTGTCTGACTAATGGCGAGTCAACATGACTCTTGGTGGTTTCTCAGTCATATATGTTAGCCATTCCAAATGTAGAACATTTGTCTGTATTGAATGGTAAGTAAACAGGTTTTCACAGAATCTATCTGTATCCTTCACAATAGGGAATTCATCTGGATTGAATGGAGATAAAGCAGGGTTTCTCATAATCTACCTGTATCCTTCAGTGAATGGTATCTGTATTAAATGGAGACCACGCAGGGTTTCTTAACCAAAGTGTAGGGGGATCTAAGATCCGTCTTGATGTAACGGCGAGTACTGAGTTTACAGGTCTCGGGTCTATGACGAAGTTGTTGTACCCGGTGTAGGGGATCTAAGATCCGTCTTGATGTAACGGCGAGTACTGAGTTTACAGGTCTCGGGTCTATGACGAAGTTGTTGTACCCGGTGTAGGGGATCTAAGATCCGTCTTGATGTAACGGCGAGTTCTGAGTTTACAGGTCTAGGGTCTATGACGAAGTTGTTCTAGGGTCTATGACGAAGTTGTTGTACCCGGTGTAGGGGATCTAAGATCCGTCTTGATGTAACGGCGAGTACTGAGTTTACAGGTCTAGGGTCTATGACGAAGTTGTTGTACTCAGTGTAGGGGATCTAAGATCCGTCTTGATGTAATGGCGAGTACTGAGTTTACAGGTCTAGGGTCTATGACGAAGTTGTTGTACACAGTATAGGGGATCTAAGATCCGTCTGATGTAACGGCGAGTACTGATTTTACAGGTCTAGGGTCTATGACGAAGTTGTTGTACTCAGTGTAGGGGATCTAAGATCCGTCTTGATGTAACGGCGAGTACTGAGATTACAGGTCTAGGGACTATGACGAAGTTGTTGTACCCAGTGTAGGGGATTTAGGATCCGTCTTGATGTAACGGCGAGTACTGAGTTTCCAGGTCTAGGGTCTATTACGAAGTTGTTGTACCCCGTGTAGGGGATCTAAGATCCGTCTTGATGTAACAGCGAGTACTGAGTTTACAGGTCTAGGGTCTATGGCGAAGTTGTTTTACCCAGTGTAGGGTATCTAAGACCAGTCTGATGTAACGGCGAGTACTGAGTTTACAGGTCTAGGGCCTATGACGAAGTTGTTGTACCCAGTGTAGGGGATTTAGGATCCGTCTTGATGTAACGGCGAGTACTGAGTTTACAGGTCTAGGGTCTATGACGAAGGTGTTGTACCCAGTGTAGGGTATCTAAGAGCCGTCTGATGTAACGGCGAGTACTGAGTTTACAGGTCTAGGGCCTATGACGAAGTTGTTGTACCCAGTGTAGGGGAATCTGGATCTGATCGAATTTGATAATGAGTAAACAGGTCTAGGGTCTCTGAAGTTTTCAGTAGAGGATCTAAGATCCGTCTGATGTAACGGCGAGTACTGAGTGTACAGGTCTAGGGTCTATGACGAAGTTGTTGTCCCCAGTGTAGGGGATCTAAGATCCGTCTTGATGTAACAGCGAGTACTGAGTTTACAGGTCTAGGGTCTATGATGGAGTTGTTGTACCCAGTGTAGTGGATCTAAGATCCGTCTGATGTAACGGCGAGTACTGAGTGTACAGGTCTAGGGTCTATGACGAAGTTGTTGTCCCCAGTGTAGGGGATCTAAGATCCGTCTTGATGTAATGGCGAGTACTGAGTTTACAGGTCTAGGGTCTATGGCGAAGTTGTTTTACCCAGTGTAGGGTATCTAAGACCAGTCTGATGTAACGGCGAGTACTGAGTTTACAGGTCTCGGGTCTATGACGAAGTTGTTGTACCCAGTGTAGGGGATTTAGGATCCGTCTTGATGTAACGGCGAGTACTGAGTTTACAGGTCTAGGGCCTATGACGAAGTTGTTGTACCCAGTGTAGGGGAATCTGGATCTGATCGAATTTGATAATGAGTAAACAGGTCTAGGGTCTCTGAAGTTTTCAGTAGAGGATCTAAGATCCGTCTGATGTAACGGCGAGTACTGAGTGTACAGGTCTAGGGTCTATGACGAAGTTGTTGTACTCAGTGTAGGGGATCTAAGATCCGTCTTGATGTAACGGCGAGGACTGAGTTTACAGGGCTAGGGTCTATGACGAAGTTGTTGTACCCAGTGTAGGGGAATCTGGATCTGATCGAATTTGATAATGAGTAAACAGGTCTAGGGTCTCTGAAGTTTTCAGTAGAGGATCTAAGATCCGTCTGATGTAACGGCGAGTACTGAGTGTACAGGTCTAGGGTCTATGACGAAGTTGTTGTCCCCAGTGTAGGGGATCTAAGATCCGTCTTGATGTAACAGCGAGTACTGAGTTTACAGGTCTAGGGTCTATGGCGAAGTTGTTGTACCCAGTGTAGGGGATCTAAGACCCGTCTTGATGTAACGGCGAGTACGGAGTTTACAGGTCTAGGGTCTATGACGAAGTTGTTGTACCCAGTGTAGGGGAATCTGGATCTGATCGAATTTGATAATGAGTAAACAGGTCTAGGGTCTCTGAAGTTTTCAGTAGAGGATCTCGTATCTGTTAAAACTGTTTCAATACGTATGGTTTCTCACAAGTAAGCTGTCTCCAGTAAAGGGGATTCATTTGCATTATCATAATATTACAATAATGTCTGCAAAACATCAAACTTAGAAATTGAGGTTTAATACTGTTTGCAAATACAGTATATCAATAGGCTTCGTGGAGACCAGTGGTAAAATGCTACGCAGGTATAAATGTCAAGCACAGTGTTTAAAATGTTTTATGTAGATCTTTTATCAGCATATTGAACACTATCATTGTATTTCAATTGCTCAAAATAGCTTAGGAACATCAGTTATTGATCCACCCTATTCTTATTCCATTTACTGTAGATGTAGACCTGTATCCAATTAATCTGCATTTTAAATCATGCGAGATGCTTTGTAGACTAAAGCATGTGTGAGTCATATGTTGCATATTTGTGTAGAGCTAGATCTATATGATGCATGTAACATGTGTTTATCTTTTTTAACTCACTCACCCCTGAAGACACATTTGAACTCTTCTAATTCAAAGATTGGAATATTTCATTATGAAATTTCAGGGGTGAGTTAAAGTTACAGGGTATATATATATAATTATATACAAGTCCTCAAGTCCCCACTCTGGATTTTACTTCTGTTTGATATGAATGATGGACACTGGTAAGTTTTGAAGAAAAAGAGACTTCTACTTGACAAATTTTACTGAATTTAACACTTCGCAGGAATATCTATTGTACTCTACAATACTTAGTGTTAACACACTTAACAAAGTTGTTTCTTGTTTCACATCAGGTATAGAAGCTACAGACATGGGGAGTCTGCTGAAGCAGTTTGAAGAAGGTAGGTTCAGAATTAAATTTCACTAACGATCACCTGATCAAAATCTTATTAAATTAGGAAATGAGATTTCTCCAGGTCGTTTTTGGTCCCCAGGCAACCAAGTTTGTTTTTAAGTGCTTTAACATTTGGTTGAATCAATATCTTGTTAATCACAAAGATTTTATGTTGTACTAATCACTTTTACACATGAAGTATTTGAAACCATAAAAATATATCCATATAAATCTACTACTTTCTATGAAATGATAGGAAAATAGTTGAATCCGAATTAGAGCGTTTGCAGATGAAAACTGTATTGAAATAAAAAAATAAAAAATAAAAAAAATTGCTTCAGATGAATTGAGGATGTTTTATATTTCAGCTTCACAATCCCTAGGTGACACCGATCCTACACAACCAAGTCTTAACTCCATCCCAGAATCTAGTCAAGCAAGGTACATAATCAGTGATTTGAAAAATAATAACCATATTATTGTTATTTGACTTGAAAGACTTTTCCTGCCGGCTACGAAATTGCGGAAAAATAAAACAAGTCTTTTCGATTCATATGATGTATAAGTATTTAATTATACCAAAGCTGTGTAAAACAAAAATAACTGAGTGACATCCTCAGAATATACCCGTACTTTTACCATGCAGTGAGCTCAAAAGGCCAATATAAAGGGGGGAATACATTACAATGAAATAGCATTTGTTGATATTAACATTGAGCTTGGATAAGTATGGGTGGGCTTTAGAGGCGTCACTAGTCACCGCGATGCACTTGTATCCTGATTATTTATGTTCGATTCGATTCACGGTGTATTTTTCCTGATTTTGATACAGCACGATCTGAATATTAGTGTATGTCGCTTCAGCCGAAATATCTGAGACGTTCAATTTCATTGGCTGATCCCTAAACCCTCAGCCAATCGCCTGTGAGAATGCAATTTGCACAAAGCGGTAAGGAAATAAAAATTTGTGATGCTCCGGCAAGCTTCAAATCAAAAGTGTGGAAACACTTTGGGTTTCCGTGTATCAACGGCTTATATATATCCCTTTTTTTTCTTTTTTTTTTAAATAAAGGTGTGTCGAATCGAAATAATGGATTTGTGGTAGAAATATTGAGATACGTATCATATCGTGGGTAAAGTGTATCGTGACAGCTCTAGTGGGCTTATTGCATGATATATGGTACTGAATTGGGGGGGGGGGGGGGGGATCTTTCCCCTGAACATTTACCAAACCTATAAATTGTGAATGGGAAAATGGAAAGCAAATAATATGATAATTTAGACCTGAGGTATGACATATAATTGATGATATTTTAACTGTTTCAGCAGGAAGACTTCAAGTCAGCCAGTCCCCAGTACTACCTCACTGGAAAGCTTGGATCTCTTTTCAAGTAAGCGTAAATATTATTGTCACACCAATCTTTATTACACAGGGTGCTTTGGTTTTCAATCGATCGAACCAGAGTCATTTGTTTAATAAATGTGATGTACCTAGTGATCCGATGTCGTTCTGGTGCATCCCATGATAGACTTAAAAAGTCTATTCATCAACACCTGCAATTCCACCAGTCTTTGTGAAAAAAATTACTGTCTTGAAAACCTAAGAAAAACAAATGCAGCAAATTTTAGTTAAAGGATTAGATGATAATTCAACATTTGACAGATCTACCCAATTGTAACATGATGAAGAAAGTTTAAGAAAATCAGTGCTGTTATCAACTACAACAGAAGAAAATGTTAAAAATGGATTCCTCATGAACTTAATTAAGTGTTTGCTGTTTACCTTGTTATTAAAAATGAGTAGTGGATATAACACACAAAAAACCCATCCCTATTGGCTGTAAGCTTACCTTGGATATTCTATTCTTTTATGTTCTATAGAAGGGTCTACATTCAAATGAAGGGGTCACAGGGTTTACCTTTCCTGGATGAGTACTGTTAACACATACATACACAGCTATAAGTTACCTTTTAGTTATTTGAATGAAATAATTAATATTTCATTCATAACATAACAGTTGTTGGCCAAATGTGGCTTTTACATGAGGTATTTATCCTGGCGCCCAGCAGATGTTCAAAACTGGTTACTATTCTGGTACTTTATTTTGAATTCACTTTCACCGATGTTATTATCGAAAATGTCAGATTATTTTTGTACTAAACAAGAAACCTCTGGGGTTTTGTAATTTTTAAACAGTAATATATTGCATAAACTCAATGGGCATCCACCTATAATAAACCAAAATAAAAGTGGACTTACCTGTTAGTGGACATTCACTCATTTATGGTATATATTCAAAGACTAATGCTAGCAACATCGGTATCCCAATTCCATTAAATCAGTTTAGAGATAATCTGAAAAAAAATGAGTTATTTCATTGTTTGAAATTTTTACCTTCGCAGATGAAAATGAAGAAAACACTACACCTTCTAAAGATGTTATCGATAAAATCCGTGCTGGAACGAAAAGGAAGTCGACCATTATGCTACCACTGGGCATGCCTTCCAAGAGAGGCAGAGGAAGGGCCATGGCAATGCCAACAAATTGTGCTCCATTAAAGCTACAGCGTATCATGGGACAGAACATGCCTCCTGACACGCCCACCTCACAAGGTTCATGTTCTGGAGACGCCACTTCCTTCAAAGGCGTGTCCCTTCTCCCTACTAATATAGATACTATAAAAAAGACCAAGGGAGATAATTCTGATAAAACTGATGTGGTTGAAATGCCTGTTGTTCAATTGGAGTTTAATAAGGAAATATCAAAGAATGAAGACGAGAAGTTTGAAGTAAATCAGGATTACTTTACTGGAATTCTTGATCATGACTACTGTGTGAATGTACCATTGAGGATTTTAGAGAGTGAGTTTAAAGACGAGCTTCCGATAGTGGCAGAAGAGGTAGTGATATGTGATGTGGAGGAACAGCCCCCAGCAGTCACCGAAGTGATTGAGCAGGATATAGATGAACTACTAGAAAAAAGTGTTGATGATGATCTCAAGAACATTTCCGCTGAAACCTCTAACGAGACTCGTCGAAGCAAGTGTTCTGCTTTTGTGGAAATACTCAAACAGTCAAAAGACGGTAAGAGGAACTATCGCAAACATACTGCAGACACTACAAGAGAGGAAGAGCCTAAAGAGATGGAGGAGGAGAAATACTTTGATAAAATTCCAGCGTATTACACAGCTCTGTCGATACCCAACAAACCTGCCAAGCAGGCTAAGACTATCACATACAGGCGCACAGCCTCGGGTCGTAAAGGCATCACCTTGGAGGATTACTTTGCCAGGAATCCTTCCCCGAAAAGAGACCCTTCTGTGTACAATAAGCTGCCAGCATATTATAGTTGTTTTACAAACAGCACCAAATATGATAATGCTAACAGCAATGGAGTTGAAAAGAGCAATAATTCTGAATCCTCTCAAGACAGTAATAAGATGTGCAGTAGTGGCTACTCTAGTCGAAGTCAGACACCATCACTTGTCATAGATTCTCGTCGTTGTTCAAGGTCACCCTCAGTGGTCTCATCAAGATCTCGATCCCGCTCAAGGTCATGCTCTAGGTCAAAGTCAAGAGAGAGAAAGAGATCTTGGAGGAGGGAAAGAAAATACTCATACTCATCCAATTCTAGGTCAAGCTCTAGGTCATCATCGTCTTCAAGGTCACGGTCAAGGTAAGCATTTTTTCGCAAATGATACATCGCCCCTGGTGGAACCCCAGCGGTAATTATTAATTTCGGTTTTAGTCCCAGATTTTGACATCTGTTGCCTATCACTCTGAAGAGCTTTCGTGTGTTTGCTTCTGTCGGAATATACCAGGCGCTAATTACAAGTTCTGAGACTTGGATATAAATTTCTTTTTCAAACATGAATAACATGCAACCTGAAGGCGTTCCAAACTTCACACGGGAATTACATATAACCTAAAGAGGTTCCTAGTATGACTCGGACACCTTTGAGTCTCCCGAAGGGTGTAGGTAGACTGTTATATTATGGATTGCTGTTGATTGATTTAGATATTTTATGTCTGACCATCAACTACCGTAAATATTCACGTATAGTGTGCACTTTAATGGGGAAATGAAAGTGTCAATAAAGGGGGGTGTAGATACTCGAGAACAATCCAAAACTAGTCCTTGGTCGCGACCATTTGATTTATCGTGATTTTTTCAGGGATTTTCGGAAATGTTTTGAAATATGCTCGCAGCAATAAACTGTTTAATTTCGTTGAATAACTCCTGATTGCATTGTCTATTTAACCATTACAAAAAATTGCAAGTTTAATACTTTAAATCATATTATACGATAGAATCGGATAAATAAACTCGAGTAAAGTGGCGAAGTTTGCAAGTTTGTGTATTGCAAAGAGTCAAGTTTGTGTGATACTATTTACCGGCGGGAACTCACAATGTCAAATACATGCAAATTGAACCGATAAAAATAAAGTTGGCATTTGAAAAAATAAATATTAATGGGTTCAAAACAGCCAAATACATTCCGATCTTTTCTTTTCAAAGAAGAATTGCTGAAATCACAATTGTTCTAGTGTTTTTCATGTCTGGTTAATTTGGCTGTTGGCGGTCCTCGTCGGACCTGTTTGAGTGACTACCTTTAACAAAGCGTACACACTCTGCCGATAGGCCTATCGATGTCCTTTGCAGACGATAAGAAAACTCCTTTTTGAATCGTGTATTTTATATTAAAAAAAAATGTGAAAGATTTATCCGTATATAAGATTGAATCTTTTCTGAAAGTTATTGTGAAATCATCATTTTATTCCAATTACCTGTTCTACCCATGCCAGGTGACAACAGATCTTTGCCACATGCTTTCTTATTAATTCCATGTGTTGGTATGGTTACCTAAACAGTGTGTATGTATATATATACACCTGTCATTGTTAGACCATTTTGATTGACAGGTGGAAATATGTCAGTTGTTGCTTGGTCAATGATTTATTATCAATTATTCACTTATTAACCAATAAAATGGATTTTAATTATGAAGTCTGTCTGATTATGCAATGGAAAATTAATCCAGGCAGTGTAAAAAATTTATTATGAGTGGAATGTTCGATTTTGTAATGAAACAAATTCAATGGGTTGAATTCCAACAAATTCATTACTGAATTCCAGGTCACGCTCCAGATCGCGTTCAAGGTCTTGGAACTCAAGATCAAGGTCAAGGTCAAGATCCATCTATGATAGATCAAGGTCAAGGTCACACTCTCGAGAAAGATCACACAGGTAAGAAACAGTTAAATATTTGTTGTAATTAAGTTAAATGTAAATGATGTATCTTTAAACTGTATCAGTTTATATTACCATCAATAAAGAATTACGAATTACTCCTTGGTAGCTATCAGATTTATGTCTCAATGGGTTGTATTACAGTGTGGGGTCCTTTTGTTTTCTTAATTATTTCCACACCATAACTTCTTAATATTACCAGGGTTACATGAAACATGCTTTACTTTAATCTGTATACCAGTAGGTCATGTCGGACAATGAGCAAAATCGGTGGTATTTGATGACCAGCCATATATGCTCCTTACATGTGTCAAAGATTTAAGAAGAAAAGTACAAGAGCACTATAATTTTTTGTTTTCTTATTTTAGACATCTAAGTCCTAACCAAATACAAAGGAGATTGGAACAGAAAGAACTACGGGATCATGAGAAAAGAAAACAGATGGTAAGAGGAAAAACAGTCTTGGCAAATCTACAATGTCATATGGGACCAAATAGTTATTAACCCTTTCACCCCTATGTAACTTTAGTAGACTCTACCATGCATTGATCTGGATGAGTAAATTTTAGTCTACAGTGGTGAAAGGGTTAAGAAAATCCAATCCATTGCCTAAACAATGTTCAGAAGCATAGTACTTCAAGTAAGGGGTCTCAGAAAAGAACTTCATCAAAAATAGAAAATACTTGTCCGAGAATTATCATATAATTAAACACCTTTATTCCATTGAACCAAGGAATTTCAGAAAAGAATTTGCCCAAAAAACGAAAAAATACTTTTTGAAGAATTATCATATCCACAGCTTTATTTCATTTAACAAAGGGGCTTTTGAAATTGCCAGTCAATTGCTGTTCAGCACAAAAGATCTAATGGTCTGGTCAGTCATCTGCAAAATGTTTTATAGATGATGACAAACGGTGAAAAATTATCAAGTAGATTATGTGTAGCAAATTGATTATTAATTGTTAATATTTATGTATAATGTATAGGTGTCTCCTATTTAACTCGTTCAACCCTGAAATTTCATAATGAACTATTCCAACCTTTGAATTGGAAGAGTTCAAGTTCAAGTGTGTCTTCAGGGGTGAATGAGTTGTCCATACCTTGTTTGATAAATGGACGTAGAAGAATGATTTAGACCTCGGACTTGGTTTGCTGTTAATATATATTTCTTCATGATTCATATAACAATGTATTGACTTCTTCAAAAGTCTATGATATTACCTGGTAATAGTTAGATTTATACTGGTGCGTCTATTTGTCTGCAGGATGAACGACGAATCATCTATGTTGGTCGAATACCCGGTGACTTCACAAGGAGTGACATGAGGAGAAGGTTTCAGAGGTTTGGAGAGATAGAACATGTACAGCTACACTTCAGGGAGCATGGGTAGGTATCTGCTACTTATAAATGTTGTGACAGTATTTCTAAATATTGTTTTCAGGTTGACATTTTTATGCCCTTTCCGTAAAATGGGGGGCATATAGTGTTGCCCATGTCCGTCCTGTCACGTCGCATCCCGTGTGATTCAATGTAAAACTTAGTAACTTCATTCGTTCACGGATTTTCGTCAAACTTGATACAAAGGTTGAGTATGAGTATACCTCCGACATCGTTGTTTCAGGGTTCCAAGGTCAAGGCCAGCATACTTCAGGGTATCAAGATCAAAGTGGTTGTAACTATTTATAGAACATCAAACACTGAAGCTAATTTCACATGATGATGGGGGCGGGGCGGGCATTCATGTTTTACAGACATTTTCTAGTTTTCATATTTTTTTGTCACAATACAAAATTGCTTAATCAATCAAAAATGAAATCTAAAATATCAATAAGAAGAAATGTGACTTGTTTTACTTTGTTTTGATAACACCCGAGACGATTAACCTGCATTTGGACCGGTGTTCTGGTAGATGTGGATTTGACTCTTAGAAAATAATTTCATAGATATTTCTTATCTGAAATAAGCTCTTGCCAAAATGTATGTTTGTGTTATATGTTTACTGTTTTTACCTGACCACAAGACCATGCCTGATAGTAAGTCCATCTATCTATCACAGTTCAGTGTTAATGACAACCAATGCTGTAGCATTGTCCTGAAATAAGCCCACCCCCTACATAGATTATGTGTTGGCCTCCATGGCTTATTTCGGGATAAATACAGTACATGTTATGTGACATTAACTCAATCACCCCTGAAGACACATTTGAACTCTTCCAATTCAAAGGTTGGAATAGTACATTATGAAAGTTCATGGGTGAATGAGTTCAGTAAGCACAGTGGAATTGTAAAATACATTTTCCAGAAGTTCCTACTTTTCTTAAAGCATACATTTTGATCCTCAATTAAGCTTCATCAAATTAGTCTTCTGAAAAATGTTAATATGTTGTTTCTTACTTGCAGTGATAATTACGGCTTTGTGACGTTCTCCTACACCTGTGATGCCTACGCTGCCATAGAAAGTAAGTTTTAGGCTAATTGGGGCCATCTCTCATATAAAGCCACAAGATTTAAAATTATTGTGCAGTGAAGTTGAATTGAAGCAGCCTTGATTCAGAGCATGCTTTTGTCACAGACACTTCACAGCCAGTAGCATACACAGCAACCAAACTTTGTTTGTATACAGTTTAAACTTAACAAATTTGTTTCGGCTCATTTTTTTAGCTGCTGTCTTATTTTCATACTTGGTACAAAAATGCATTTAAACTTTTTAAGTTGCATTTCCAAAGTTTATGTTAACACTTGATATCATTGTTTGGTAGACTCATATAGATGGCTGGATTCTAGTTAGTCACATCAAATCACATTTTTATATATATACACATGTAGTTGCTGCAGGTTTCACATTTGGCAAAGTGGGTTATAGTTATAGCTTTGTCAGTGCATACGTCACTCTGTATAAGACAGCTTGTGTACAAGTTATCTCTCGATATTTTCATGCACTCGAGTACCAATTATCTAATCAAGCTCTATTTTCATAGTTAGCATAAAGGTGATTTGTATTGCAAGTAGGATATCTATATATATGGGTAGTTCATCATTTAATTAAAGTACTGTTTCCACATTCCAGGAAGAACTTTTATTCTGTGAAACCTAAATGGTCCTTTGTCCCTTAAATAAAATATTCTAGTACATTGCACTTTTTCTAATAGCAACATTTTCATTTCAGAGGGGAATGACTTTAAAGACGACCCACCATTCGAGCTGTGCTTTGGAGGTCGTCGAAAGTTCTGCGAGACAGAATATGAAGATTTAGGTTTGTACTTTAATAAGAAAAAAAAATATGAAGAAAAAATTCTTGAACCATTACAAATAGAACAATGGTTGGCAGCAAGTTGTAGCAATCATTTACCATTGTGCTAGATGACTAGACATGAAAAGCTTTTTGGAAAATATGAAGGAAATGTCAACAGAACAATTCCAGAATCCATGCATGCTAATGATTTAATTAAAGGTCAAGATTACCCTGATTTTGTTAATAAAACAGGCACGGTAGTCTAGTGGTAGAACGCTGGGCTGATGACCGGAGGGTTACGGGTTTGAGTCACCTCGGGGCACTGTGTTGTATCCTTGACCAAGATACTTTACTCCGCTTGTTTTAGTCTACTCAGCTGTAAATGAGTATGTGGTTGGGCAGTGCTAGAATTGTTGCATGCTAGCTTTGAGCACCGAAATGGCAGCACCGTCTGTATGCTCCCCAGGGAGTTGAGAAAGATAATGACTGGTTGCATAGACTCTATAACCACAGATAATAATTTGTGAACTGCTTGAGACGACGTACGAACTCAGTTGTGATACACCGGTATATGAGAACCTCAAATTAGTATTAGTATTATTATAATACAAGTTTTATTCTGTTGGTACAGATGGTGATATTGAACAGATGGAGGAATTAAATCCACTACAGAATATGAATTCTAGAAAACCCCTAGACTTCGATCAGCTTCTTGAACAGGCCAAAAAGGCGAAAAAGAAAACTGAAAAATCCTCCTGATATCCGGTGATGGATGTTTGTGATGCAAGATTGTAAGATGATTCAGGGAATGTGAAAATGAATATTTATATTCAGTGATAAATGCAGGTAGTGATGAAGTTGGATTATTAATCATTTGTTGTATGGTTGTGTAAAGATATGCTGTAAATTAATTCTACTTCACGACCTCCATATTTTTGTGTCGATTCACAGAGTGTCGAGTGCGAATTCAGATCGAGTGAAAGGTCATTCAGATATAACTAAGCGATGAACGTCATGTTGTTATTTTTTGCGAATTTTAATCCAGCGTTGGTAGACCAATCGCAAAAAAAACAGATTGTGAAAGTGTTTTGAAGAATGTACTGTATATCTGATCAGTGAATGTGTTTTTTGTTAAAATTAATGTAGAAAAGTGTAAAAGTACATTGAACACTTGTAGGTAACGTGTGATGTTGTCTTGAGGACGTTGAGATGTATGCAGATTGTACTGATGTTGATGTTTCTGTCACTTACACTCAAACCTCGAGCCGATTACTATTTCTGTAAATTAACAATTTAAAAGGTATGACCGAGTTTTCTTTTGCATCACATTTCCTATTCTGGTGAAAACAATGCATTGTGTTATTTTTTCATGGGTTAAGATCGGGTATCCTCAAATTTTTGTGTAGATCTACCCAATTGTTTGACTATGAGGCAATGTTTATGACCTGTTCATGCTGAAAACAGACTTTTTAAAAATAGAAAAATACTTCTGTCAATAGGAACATTTTAGGAGCAAATTTTCTTATTGTAATAGTACCTGATATCATATTTGGCCGACCCTGGTGTCGAGTTTTGTGGTCTGATCTTGCACAAGGGATGAAACAATACTTTTACAACTCAGTGTTGTATATATCCTGGTAAAAAAATCTAGCTTTGATATTTTCAGTGTAAAACATTAGTTTGGACTCCCAAGAAAATTAGGTATTTAAGGAAGTTACAAAATTTGAAGTATTGGTACATAATATAGATTACATATACACATGTTTATAGCTAGAAGCACCTCTGCTTTTTCTATGTAGTGTGAAGTGAAAACATTCAAACACCAGAAGTATGGAAGTTTTTCATTATCAGGTGCCATTTTGTAAAAACATGCCTTTCTGATTTTTAAATCAAGAAGAGTTGTTTGTAACTATGGGAACACAATTGATCTCATTCAATCGCATGTGATGTAACATTATTTAACATACACTTCCTAAGTGTATCACTCCAATTGCATACACAATCAGTTATATTCCAACTGTTGATATTGCCTTCCCTTGTGAGATATCGGCTTGGCATCTGGCGAAATCACCTGCTTCAGCTACATATGCCAACGTCTATGTTTTACTAGCTAAAACAAATTCTCATTCTGGGTTCATTCTGTTTGTCAGAATTACTTTTTTTTTTAATCCTATGGAAATCATGAATGGAAAAATTTAAATATACTTTAGTTTTCATTCCAACAAATTTTATTGACAGATGGATTGAATAACAGGCAAGCCAATATACATTCTAAAGTGTACTTCAATTGCTGGCAAGCAGAGTTTTGGATTTAAGACAATGCTAGAAAGAAACAAATAGAAAAATGGAAATTAAATCAATGTTGTAAAGTTTGATGATAGCATTATGAAGGAGTTTTCCCATGCATGAAAAAAATAAACCAGAAAGAGAGTGTTGGTTTGTTTTAAAAGTGTGTACAATAATGTACATCACCATAAAATTATATGATAAAAATGTTATTGCCTGTATCTTACTCCAACCAGCAACCTGTATTAGGCTGGGCTTATGTTCTTGGGCATGATAAAGGTAGCTTGGGCCAATAAAACATGCAAACAGTCATTTGATAACCTGTAATGATTACTTACAGGCCGAGTACTGACCCAAGGCATAACATGTACCAAACCAGAGGCCTGTTCGTTTATGTGGAACAACCGGTTTGTCTGTTTTTAAATAAATAAAAATAAATAAAAAAATCCAGGCAGTCCTGCAAATGTTTATGCAGGCCTTACAAGGCTTTGTCAAGGCTCGCCTGAACGCAGCATCAGATTGCTAACTAGGTCCAACCTTATTTCATAAACGAATAACTCTGCTCCAACCGTTTGGATTGCGATAAAAGAGAGCCGCCCAAAAGTAATGGATTGAGAAACATTTTTTTACTGTTTCACACTTGCACCTTCACACACCAAAGGTGATTCTAAGAAGTTGTATTATAAAATCTTATTATCACATCAGGTTATATATATTGTCTATGTCTGATTTTTATTAAAATGAATTTTCTGTTAATACCTATATACATACAATATAAAATATATGATGTATTTAAAGATGCATTGTGTATTGGAGTTGCCTCCCCTTGAGCTCCATAAAAAAATAATGCATTCTGGAAATAGTGTACAGTCCTTTTGTTATCTATTCTATTAGATGATTCAGAAACTGATTGAACCAGTTTAAGTCTGATATGGTGTCTAAATAATATCTTATTTGTTTTCAAGTTTTACAGACTTTATTTCATGTCGCATTTGCAAAACCTATGATAATTTAGAATTGTCAGTTTGTATACTTTATCTATTTTGTATATCTACTCTTTTCCTTTACTTCGTATATCTATAAATAAGACCTGTTGCGGTGCTGCATAGTGCTTCAGACCATTTTTATACACAATTATATATGCTTCCTTTTCCCAATCAACTTGATATATATTTTCGAAGGAATTTCTAATGATTTTTTTGTTGATTCAAACCCACTTCTGTGCCAAGCGTTACTAAACAGAAGCTGTTTTTGTTGATAGTAGTGGAAATAATAATATTTTGTTGTATTTTACACAGTAGGTTATATGGTTTATTATAAGACATCCCGAAGTGTCCAAAAATTGATCTCCAAAGGTGCTCTCTGGTGATGTTGCAAATGTGTAGTTAAATTCATGAACTTCTCAATATAATAAACTGAAATTGAATTTCGATTGCACTTATGGCCGGACTAGTGAACTCTTATCAGGAGTCCATCAATTGGGATAGGTGAGCTTCACTGAACATCCTCTAGCAGACGCTGGATCTCATTTTCCTTATTTTAGTTACAAAATAAACAGCTTTGTAAAATATCTATGCTTCTTCCTTCTAGTTTGTGAGGGTCTGCTATATAATTAGGTGTGATACTTCACAACATGACACTTTAATTCATCTTCAAAACCGGGGGTAATTGTTCTGTTGATGTGAAATATCCTCACTGCACTGTGTAAGAGGGAACAACATATGAAATTTTTATTATAACTTCATGCTATCAATACGAACTTTGTTAGTCAGAAATGATGAATATGAATACAGGGACGTACATGTATACTATAGTCTCGGGACAGGTAAATACTTATATACATAGTTACTGATAATTAGGGTCACGATATTCTAAGGAACCTAATATTATTTACATAAATGGTGATATATTGTATTATAGTGAATCTGTTTCGTTTCTAGTAAGGTAATATGTACACTAACTAAAGAAACCTGGCTTTGTCTACATCATGACACTTTAAAATTGTGTACCAGGTAGGTGTGTACTTTGGACATACGAAGCTCGGAGAGAAATTGTACTTTTTTAACATATTTGGATCATGTTTTAAGGTTGTTTGGATATTTCTATTGACTTTAAATCCAAATGTGTTGTTAATTATCTTAGAGAAATTAAGCTGCCATTAAGTTTGTTCTTGTTTAAAAAGAATTGTTTTTTTATGACCATTTGTAATTTTTGACTTTCCTTTTTTTTAGCCCATTTGAGCACTGCTTGTTAATTCTTTAGAATGTCTTGTTGGTTTCCTACGAGATAAAATGGTCAGTGAAATAACCAAGTCAAAAGTAGTTTTTGCCGAGGTGTGCAATATTGGACGATGTGTTGGATAATTGTGTGAACTTGTGAACTTTGGTTTAACTGACTTGACAGCTTGAGAGATTACGTGAGACAGAAGCTCTATTGAGTACTTAATTGTAGGATGTTAGCATCCCTTTGTACTTGATGTTAGAATGCAAACCTGTTGCTTGCACCTATATTAATTATTTTTTCATGTTCCAGAGGAATAACGTTGCATTTTGTCTACATCAAGCGCTAAACTGCACCCCTTATACTTACCACTTTCATATAAAGTTTTCATTTTCCATCTCTTGAATTAGTTTTGATTATCAGCAAAGGTACTTTAAGTGTATGCTTTGTATGAAATAAAATAGATTTTGAAAAAAAAAAATGTGTTTACTCATTTGTGACTGGTACCAATTATTTGTCCAGAGGTGCTTTTAGAAACTTCACCATGTCAACAAGGTAGAACCTGACCATATAGACAACCAAATGTCAATACAGTAGAACCTGACAATAGAGACCACCAATGCACTACAACCTGACAATATAGACCACCCTATGTCAATGCAGTAGACCACCCGATGTTAATACAGTAGAACCTGACAATAGAGACCACCCTATGTCAATGCAGTAGAACCTGACAATAGAGACCACCCTATGTCAATATAGTAGAATCTGACAATTAAGACCACCAATGCACTACAACCTGACAATGTAGACCACCCGATGTCAATACAGTAGAACCTGACGATGTAGACCACCCGATGTCAATACAGTAGAACCTGACAATGTAGACCACCCGATGTCAATACAGTATAACCTGATAATAAGAGACCACCCTATGTCAGTGCAGTAGAACCTGACAATAGAGACCACCAATACAGTAGAACCTGACAATAGAGACCACCCGATGTCAATACAGTAGAACCTGACAATGTAGACCACCCGATGTCAATACAGTAGAACCTGATAATAGAGACCACCCTATGTCAATGCAGTAGAACCTGACAATAGAGACCACCCTATGTCAATACAGTAGAACCTGACAATAGAGACCACCAATGCACTACAACCTGACAATATAGACCACCAGTTGTCAATGCAGTAGAACCTGACAATATAGATCACCCTATGTCAATGCAGTAGAACCTGACAATATAGACCACCAATGCACTACAACCTGACAATGTAGACCACCAATACAGTAGAACCTGACAATATAGACCACCCTATGTCAATGCAGTAGAACCTGATAATATAGACCACCCTATGTCAATGCAGTAGAACCTGACAATATAGACCCCAACCTGTCAATACAGTAGAATCTGACAATTAAGACCACCAATGCACTACAACCTGACGATAGAGATCACTCATTGTCAATATTTTATTTAAATGTTCACACAGCAGAACTTATAAATAGAGACCACTTCATGACTTTTCTTCTTGGTCGCTTCAGTTATTTTCCGTCTATACGGATCATACTCGAACCTGGCTCTGCTCCTTTCACCTGGTGTAGGTAGTTCTGTGGTGGTTGGGGCGTGCTGGTTCAAAATTATCTTTCATATTATCAAAGTCCGTCTGATATAAAGTGTAACGCCGTAAACTTCTATTTGACATGCACACCTTTGAGCTGTTTGTAAAGTGATAACACCCCGTGTTTAAATTGCAACGATATAAAATTCAACGTTTAGCAGTGCGTACTTTCACGTTTGGCGGGACCATACATGTACATGGATTTTACACATCACTCACTGGTACTGGTATTGCTTAGATAATTTAGAATTCAGATTCAATATACTGAATAGTCATAATATTTTAAGCAATATCTGCAAGACCTTGACCCTATCATAGGTGACCTTGACACTTTCCTAGATGACATTGCCCCTATCCGACTTGGCCTTGTACGAAGCTAACAGCCAGGTAGACAACAGTGCCGAGAAGTGTGGTTCCTACTATGAAACCTAAAATGTACAACACAGTGGCGACGCGTCCAAACTTCCTCGCGCGGTCTTCGTGACCTGTCTTGTACTCGATGTCGCCCTTCGTCATCAGGTGCACGCCGGGAAGACAACAGAGAAGGTAGAAGAAGAAAAAGCAGGGACAGTGGAGAGCGCTGTGGATCATGTGGTTGAAGTTGTTGTGGGGATTCGGTTTGATCATGTAATCTTTCTGTAGGACCGGCTCCTCGTGTGACATATGGTAGAAGAAATACCGTAGGGGGTCATGTGACAACTGTTGTCGCCTGTTCTGTAGGTACTCCAGTCTCTGACGGTCACTGTGTTCGTGTTTGAACGTCATTCTCGTTGGATGAGCTGCACCGTGAGGTATCCTCAGACTTCCAGGACAGCTGAGTGCCTTCCGTTCTATCGACCATCTTGGTTGAACATCTTCCCACTCCTCGCCTATGAACATGTTAAGTTGTCGCGTGAAGACGCCATGAGAAGACACCTTTGGAGTCCTGGCCGACATGTCAGACGTCGGGGACTGAGGACGGGGCGCGATAGACGTCGCCCCTGGAGAGCCAGGTGCCTCACCTCCTTGAGCGGCAGTCTCGTCTTCAATCTTACTCACAGCATAAGCATGAGCATACGGGTTGTGATAGGCGGAATCTATGGCTGACTGACTGATATCGACTGTCAAACAAAGGGCATTGGACACAGCATATGGCTGAACAGTTTCCACAGACATCTTCGTGTCGACGCTGGACGCACCGACGCTTGACCCAGCGTCGTCATGGGACTCGCTGCCGGAAGTGGTGTCGGACACGATACTTGGGGGCACATAACGGAAGTAGTTTTTCATAGTCACTTCCGACGAACCAGCCAGACTACTTTCGAGATCCGTGTCGGAGAACCCGACGTTGTCGATCCCTGCCCTGCTTGTGCCGACACTTGACGAAGCGCCGCCGTATGACGCGTGCGACTCTGTGGCTGACGTGTAAGTTGACTCGTCTGAGTAGACTCCGGTAGACACATGTCTGAGTGACGTCTTGAGTGTAATCTCGGACGAGCCGGGGAGACTGCTCTCCATATCTTGCTCTGTGAAACCAGCATTGTCCATGGTACGCGTGAGGATTCTGAAGTACAAAACAGTATCTTGATACCTATAACAAGTTCGAATACTTACAAAGAATTCTCATAAATATATCTTATAAAATCTATAATATTATACAGGTCATACAATTCTCATATTATATAATTTTGTGACATGTGGTAACAAGAATCTCAAACTCTTTTCATTCGACAATACGGACACAGGGGCCGGTAGTACTAATATTAATACCCGGCCTACTCTGCCCGAAAAATTGCTGCGGTTACCCACTGCAAGTCTCGTAAGAGGCGGGAACCCCCTGTCGAATTGGGGGTCTGCTTTTGTGCCCTCTGATTGGGGACACCAAAGCGACCAAAATAAATCTGCTGCACCCTTTGTAATATTTTGGATGTTTAATATCTTTCTATTTCTAACTACCTTTTATTTCCTAGTGCCTTGCTTGGCAACACTAAACTTTGGGCTTTAATGTTGAACATTCGCCCAATAGAGGAAGACAATGGGTTCTGTCCCCAGGCCATGACATACCAAAGTCCTTAAAATGGTAGTTTTTCCCTGCTTAACAGTTAGCATTTAGGGTAATGATAAAAACTGGTTCACTCGTTGTCAGTATATTGTGATCGGGTGGAATATTGTGCTCGATACCTTCGGCAAGATATTTCAATGAGAGAGCCATCAGTACCGAACTATCACAAGGAGGCAAACATACCAACATACCCTGTCTCCGGCACACATACAGACATACACACACCCATACATCATAACACACACGGACTGGAGGGACGTCCTTAAATTACCTTAGCTGTTAGCCTAGTAGGACGTTAAACAATAAAAGACCAAACCAATCTTTCGACAATACGAACACATTGGCCGGTAATACTAATATTAATACCCAGCCTCCTCAGTTATCGTTATCGCAGCTAAGTGGCCAGGTACCTGAACTATTCTGGACATATACAAGTCTAGGAATTGTAGTGACTCTGACTCCTGTGTTTATAAGTATTATAAAACCTATCTGGAACTACAAACAATGTACTACATATGTACTCATATAACGTAACACATAATGATATCGTTCTTCATATTGCACGGAGTCACTTTCTGAAGAGGTGTTCGACTCAACCATTTACATATCCGTTGATATTTTGGGACATCCTACCCAATCCCTGTTTTGAAAGAATATTTGACTCAAGTTAACTTCTTCGTGTCAAAAATCACATTTCTAGTGAATGGACTAATGTACCGTACACGTACAGCGCTCGGTACCGTTGGAAAGATAAATCACATTTCTTTTACAAACCTCCTGTAGCCTACTTTGGTAACAATTCTTGGATCCCTGTGTTAAATACCAATGATTCTTCTATATGTATTTGATTCACATCAAACATTTAGTTAGTGACGTAATCAAGTACTATATACGTGATGTTGAAAATTCTCCCTGTCACTATGTCACTCTGAAACACAATATCACTGTTGTAATAGCCTATATAACTTCTGGACCTGTAACTACACGTGGCCACATTTATTCATTGAGATGTAAATACTGTTTAATTTAAATGAGTAGATATAGTGTTATGACGTGACAATCTCCTACCTGTATAGTTGCCTGTTTTCCCGTCCTGTCGTCTGATATATCGTTGCCGATTTCCTCGATTATGTCAGAATAAAATGTCAACCAGTAAATAAAGGCTCATCGTCACAAAATGGCGGAGAAAGTTTTGATTTTAATAAAACAATGTGTTTACTAAAACAAAGGGCGTAGATGCAGCGGGGCATGTCTAGTAGTTATACACCTGAGCGCACCGGAACTTACCTGTTCGTCCATCACGCCCATCTGTCACCTGTGTGTAGGTGTCACACGTACAATTAGTAATACACAATAAAAAACAGTGTTCAGGCAGACAGTCATGTGTATTTCTCTGTCGATTTGTTATCTTGTTTACGTCCTTCTGAATAGCTTCACTGTTTCATATGAACACATATTCCTAACCTTAATTACAAAGGGAATACAAACATTTTTTGTATTTCTAAACTCTTAAGGTATGCATCAAATATTAAAGATTAAGAAAGTTGTTCTCGCATTCTGATCTCCTTCCATGAAATGACAATCGTTGCAGCAGTTATTTCGACGCCCTGCCATTGATATTAAAAAAGAATCCTCTTGACAGAGGTATGTTTCATACCAAATTATGTTCAAATATGTCAAGCATTACTTCCGGAATTGTTTTTTTCAACATTTTCCCTTATTCCCTTTATCATCTTACCCCATGAAATAACCCACTTTCTGTGTGTCTGTGGTAGTTGAACTGTTTCCTCTCTTTTCGTCACAGACACAGGTTCTGTGTGTAAGTGGTAGTTGAACTGTTTCCTCTCTTTTCGTCACAGACACTGGTTCTGTGTGTAAGTGGTATAGTTGAACTGTTTCCTCTCTTTTCGTCACAGACACAGGTTCTGTGTGTAAGTGGTAGTTGAACTGTTTCCTCTCTTTTCGTCACAGACACTGGTTCTGTGTGTAAGTGGTATAGTTAAACTGTTCCCTCTCTTTTCGTCACAGACACAGGTTCTGTGTGTAAGTGGTAGTTGAACTGTTTCCTCTCTTTTCGTCACAGACACAGGTTCTGTGTATACGTGGTATAGTTAAACTGTTCCCTCTCTTTTCGTCACAGACACAGGTTCTGTGTTTAAGTGGTAGTTGAACTGTTCCTTCTCTTTACGTCACAGACACATGTTCTGTGTTTAAGTGGTATAGTTGAACTGTTCCCTCTATTTACGTCACAGACACATGTTCTGTGTTTAAGGGGTAGTTGAACTGTTCTTTCTCTTTACGTCACAGACACGTGTTCTGTGTTTAAGTCGTAGTTGAACTGTTCCCTCTATTTACGTCACAGATACAGGTTCTGTGTGTAAGTGGTAGTTGAACTGTTTCTTCTCTTTTCGTCACAGACACAGGTTCTGCGTTGAAGGTCATACGTGGCATGTCTTAATAAATGTTGTTGTTTTTTTTATTGAATTTCAGCCTTTGTTAAACTTATTTTGATCTCTTGATGTGTTCTCTGTATATGCCTCAGTATGACCGGGCCGTAAAGATTTTATTAATAATTTTACCCAGTGACGTATATATTATGTATTATTATATTGTAATATATACGTCTATGTTTTAACGGAACGCATGCAATGGTAAATAACTTTAATGTAGCAACATTTCACTATCAAGTGTCCTCTGTCAATTCCAGTCATACTGCGTTCCAAACCTACACTTTAATGGATTCTTGTTGTTTCACTTGATGAATAAAATAAACTTCACGCATAAGTCTCACGCAGGAGGTGAGTGTGCAAGTCAGTAAATAGGAATTACCTCCCTTGCAACGCTAACTTTGAAGCTTTGATTTGGGGCAATCACGCCAAGAAAAAATCCCGCACCACATATCGCTCTAGGTTATTGACTAGCCAAAGCGTATTGTAAGTTTAGAACATTTACTACTAAATTACCAATTGAAAGTGGTAGGTGGTTCAATATACCTAGTGAAAATAGATTATGTAGTATGTTATTTAAGAGAAATTGGCGACGAATTTCATTATCTGTTTACATGTACACATCAACCAATTCTCAATAGTAGGCGAAAAAATATGTCGAGATATTATTATGAAAGACCAAACACATTTAAATATCATAAATTATACACTTATGTAACACAACATGAATTGACATTATTGGCTAACTTTATTACCAATATTAATGACATAATCAATTTACATTACTAATGTCCATCCTGTTCCACCATGTATTATTGTCACCCATTTGTATATATGTATTCTCTACACTGTATTGTTTATGAGAATAAAACAATTGTCATTGTCATTGTGGCCTCTGGAATCTATTGGATCATGATTTTTCGGTACGATTTCTACGCCGAAATCAGGGCGCTTAATTTAAGGTGTACAGAAAACGGTTTACCATATATCAAATAATTACACCTAAGCTTATCTTTATATAATAAAAGATGTGTTCAATTCAGTTGTGAATACTGTACTTATTCTTAAATACCTTTGATGAAATGAACTGATGATATCTTTATTGAGTTGGACATGTCCATGAATTTGTACATAACTTTGAATTGTTTATTGTTATTCGCTATATTTCCTCCAAAAGATACATGTATTTGTATTTAAATGAACATTGGAAAGTACACATGTATCGTTATTCTTCATTGTACATAGATATTTTACAGGAGAAAGAAGATTTACATTGTTATTGGTATAATAGGTGCAATTAATTGAATAGGATGTAGAGTTTGGAACGCCGAAATAATGTGTTCAAAAAGTGCACCTATTCCTGAATAGATGCATTAAAAAAAAAAAAAAAATGAAGATAATGTTTGATTCATTTGGTTTGTGTATGGACAGTAGTCTCTTTAAAGAACGTCAACGTACATACTCTAGTACGACAGTGACCGATAACCACACTTTCTTATTTCACCTGAAATCTGAGGAAGATACAAAGACGCATGTGTGTCGAAAAGATTTGATGGATCGACCTGCAATGTGTATTCGACAGCCACTGGCACCAAAAATGAAACAGATTGTTCCCGATAAAATAGCCATCTACAGTGTATTTCCAGGGTGTGTATTACGTAAAATAGGCTTCCGTCACCAGCTGAATCTTTACAAACACAGGTCGAAAGTCAGTAAATGTATGAAGGTATTCGTAGTTCAGTACAACGGAATTATAGTTTCGTGTTTAATTCGAAGACGTTCATTAATGAGTTTGATTGAAGTCAAACGTTTTTTCATAAAAATGAAATTGAAATTTGAGGATGTGTTGCCTGGAGCAAATGTAACATGAGCAGATGCACTAGCGGAGAAAAAAAAATGATGGATGCAAAAATGTGAAAAACGATAGAAATCAGAGATTTTCGATTTTATAATGCGTGTCATTGATTTATTACTAAAAAAATCCTCACTTTTCATTGTGGACATTTGAGACGTATAAGGGAAACCTAAGACACAGAGGGTACATGTTACGCACTACAAACACGTTCTAACGACTAGATCGACTTTTCTTTTAATCGGCCACCGGAACTGTTGGGGTACCTATAACACAACAGTTGTCACGAACCAGCGCCGTTAAACGTTTCCTGTAAATGCTTTTTGTTATCCCTGATAAAAGCCCCCAATAAAAACGTGACCTGTACGAGCAATACGTGTTTAAGATATTGTAATAAAGTTGACGCAACTCACGAACGACTGCGCGTACATGCGCGTGTGTGCGATATCTTGAAGGTTATCGGTACCTGAGATAAGATATGGACAACTGCGTCACTGTTGTTGACTCATCGTTTGTTTGTCCGTTCTGCATTTTTATTCTGTTATTCCATTAAACTTTAGCTGTTTACCTCAACACCCAGACAAAAACCAGTGACGTAATCAGGACATGATTTCCATGTAGTTACCATCAAACGTGAACTTTAACACCCACTAGGTAACAAAAACGTGAACTTTTACCTGTTTTCGGTAAGTTTATAATATGTACACGAAATACGGCGAACGATATAGTTACCAAATTATATTTGCATAGCGTCGAACAATATTGACCACATCTTAAATTATTGAATTCGCGGCAACTGTATAGAGACTAGGAGGTGTAAAAACACTGAGTCAAGTCATGCCTGTCCCAGTGACGGATTTCTCTCAATGTTAAACCCATAAGTATATCAGATATATTTCAACTCGGCGATAAACGTTTATTTAATCATCAGAACTTGACAAGGCAAAAACTGCTGTGTGATTTTTATGATTAACGGATGTTAACATTTGAGGAAGCGTTGAAGAGAAATTTTTGGATCAAATTATATATCATTTCCTATAGCAATTATTTCCCCTTATATATGTTTACAAGTTTATTATACCAACCCAAGTTAACCTTTTTACAGCCCTTGGTAAACCATGCTCCCCGCGGGTTACATCCATCAGCCTGGTATTTTACGGACCTTCCCTACAGGAGGGTCCGACACATACCGAAGTCAATCCGACGTCACAGCGGGTCCATAAAGCACGCCAGGACACAGACGTATCAATATTACATTTTAGGGGAACACGTGATGATCAGTAAACAGTCGCTTTATTGTTTCCAGACTAAATGTGTCAGTGGTTCCTAGTCCTTCTATAGACCGAAAATGTCAGCCTCATAAACCGTCACTTCATATAAAACATTCACGTCTGAACAGGTTCATGCTGTCGTCATGTCACTTTAAACAAAGCAAAGTCTACTTTATAAAAGTGAATATTTTATATGAAATTACCGTCTTTACACATTGAATTGTTCGGTCTTCTGGAAGCTTTCTCTCCAACACAAGAGAAACTCGCTTAACGCGATGGCTTTATAATGGTTTCCGCATGTGCCATTAGACTTTCGGAACTTAATTTTAATTTGAAATGTGTTTAGCTTTCGAAAATTGGTAATTGTTCCTGTTTTTCTATATGAAACACAGATTGATCCTCTAAGTTTTGGAGTTTTCGAAAGTTTCTGAATATTCAACCGATTTTGATGTCTTATGCAATAGTTTACACATTAAAATGGCTTAGTCGTCCCGGAAAAGGCAAAACAAAAACAAAACAAAAAAACTCGCATTTGAAAACCTCTTCTATCTACGTCTAGTAAAGCTAAGTTAACGACATCAAACAAAAGGAGAAAGACGTCTGGACCTGATTCTGTTAATAATTCTACATGGAGATCGAAAATAAGAAAAAAAAATGCTTGAACTTCTACAGTCTGTATCATTTTAGATCCGTTCTCAGATCTATCCTGCAGGCTACTTCCCTCATAGCGGTCAGGTTTGTTTATCACCTGTTGCAGTGTGTGTATTCATCTATATACATTTATAATTTCTTTTCCAAGTGTATTTATATAAGTTCAGCGATTAAGTACAGACACACAATTGCTAGTATATGAGCGGACATCATAACATAAATACAGCCCTTTTACTCAGGACGTAAACCCGACGTACCGCAATAGTTTGAACTCTTGTGCCAGAACTACTGCGGGCTCATGTTTATGTCAGGATGTGCCCACGTGCCATTTATACGACTGTTATCGTTGTTTGGTCAGCTGAAAGTTAAGTTCAGGTCGATGGATGGAGTGATATCTGGACGTTCGCTCTATGGTACTGTACTTGCTTGGACCCCTTTTCGTCGTTGGAAGCTTCAATACTGTCGTGTACGTTTTAATAGGCTGATGATATCAGAGGATATCTGGTTCATACCATCAGTGGATGTTATCAGATCTAGAGATTCATTAGACACTTACTTTCGTTTCTGCTCATTTGCAGAAATGTTTGCTCCTGTTTTCTAGCCCTGTTCTTCATTGGCCATTCTCGAACCTGCTCAAACCTTCTCTGATCCTTATAT